TCACCAACATATAGTAGTATTAATGATAGAAAAGGCTTACTATTACACACTGAGCCAACAACATGCGCAGGCCAAAATATGCCTGGAATGTGTGTGAGAGAGAGATACCCTCTGTTACTCAACAAGTCAGGACATGTGGAGGATATGTCAGCTTGCTGCATCACTGTGGAGTGTGTGTCTGTGGGGTGTTTGTGTGCACGTGACCCAAGGGTCCTGGTCTTTACCTGGCCAGTTAGAGCTGTGATTAGGGGTCTCTCTAACACACATACTCCACATGTGGGACGGACTCTTGGCGGTCGGCTAGCTAGCAAGCTTGTTGCCATGGTCTCCAGGGAGTCGTCATGGCGATGTTGTAATGAAACCAAGGCCTCTGGGAGAGAAATATAAATGTCCTAACGACCCAGGAAGTAACATTTCCGCACAGGCCAATCAGGAACGACCGGCTGGACCAGAACCAAATCCCATTGGTCTGCTGGTCCTGACCTCTAACCTTTCATGACCGCTACTCTGGAGAGATGTCTGGACGGAAAGAGTGAGGGAAGGGACGAGGGAGAGTGAGGGGGAGTCAGAGAGAGAAATACAGTCAGAACGACCTTCAGCTTAACAGCAGTAATATTTAGTGTGGCCTCGACTGTGTTTATGGTGCCCTTTATGAGCATGTTGCCCTCTCTCTCCCTCCCTCTTTCTCTCCCTCCTTCCTCCTCTCCCTTCTTCTCTGCCTCCTGCTCTCCCTCCCTCTTTCCTTCCTCATCTCCCTCTTTCCTGTCTCTCTCCTCCTCTCCCTCCTTCTCCCTTTTTCTTCCTTCTCTCCCCCACTGATGTCCAGTCTTTCTCAGACTATGTCCCAGACCTACAACCTAGCCCCATGTCCCAGTCCTCATTTGATTTTCATCCCTTTGGGTGATTTCCAGTCCCCCAGTCTTGTACCCTGTCATGTTCAGTGTCTGTCAGTGTGACTTTGAACAGCCATAGAAGCTGCCGGAAACCTCTAAGCTCACAGCTGCTCCGCTTCACATACTGTTTATGTCAGTGAGAGAGGTATGGGAGGGGGAGAGGTGGATGAGAGGATAGAAAGAAAGTATTAGGGGTTGGAAGAAAGGGGAGGGGGAGAGAGAGTAGACAAAAAGGATGAGGGGATAGAGGAGGGATTGCATGGGGGACAGGAGGAGAGGGGGGTAGGAATAATGGATGAAGGGTTGGAGGAGTGATTGGTAGGTAATGGGCTGGAAAAGAAGAAGGCTTTTAAGCTCTGCAGTAAAAAGCAATAAAAGCTTCACTTCTATTTCACTCCTCTTCCTTTTCTTGTTCTATTGCTCTATTATTCTATGTCCTGCTTCTTCTTACTCGGTGTCACTGTCTGTCTCTCTCACTATCTCTCTCTGTTTCTGTCTGTCTGAAAAAACCTTTTCAAGCAATGTATGTGAGACTGACCACAATGACAAGTATTAACATGCTTTATCTGTATCCCTTTCTGTCTTTATTTCTCCATCTCTCTCTCTCTTTCTATCCCTCCATCTCTCTCTCTCTTTCAGGAAGTGGAGATTCTTGACATTAGCCAGATAAGAGACACCAGAACGGGGAAGTTAGCCAAACTACCAAAGGTGGGTAACGTGTATGTGTTTTCATTTTCCGTTGCAAAATGTTTTGCTACATGTTGGTACGGTGCTACGGTGTGCACTTTATGAATACGGGCCACAAAGATGATCCTATCACAGCCGTGGAGAGAGAATACATCATGGGATACATTTGATTTACATTACATTTGACATTTTAGAGAGTTCGATGTGACCAATGATTATATATACACTAGATGACTGATAGGTGGCGCTGTGTTGAAGCCACTGTGCCTCCATCTTGGCACTCCCCCACCATTGTAGAAAATATTTTGGAAGCTATAGAAATGCATTTATTAATGTCTGCATTCATTTTTGCCACGTTTATTCTATTACAGACACCTTAATATATACTTTGAAATTATATTATGTAAGCTAAAAATATATAAAAACATTTCCTTAGAGTATAATTTTTAGAGATTACTAATGTTATGTCCCCACTACAACAACAAAAATACTTAAATACATGTAATTGTTTCCTTGAAACATTTAATTGAAATACTGTAGAATTCCATTCATTCCTATAGAGTATCACAGTGTGAGTAAAAATATCCATAAAACCTAGTGGTCAAACAGGGAAATGTTTCCACATCGTTTTTCCATCATTCATTTTTCCCATAGGGGATTTTAGAAACCCTTAAAATAATGGCGTGACGTTTTGATAACCGTGTAAATCTCTCTAGGACAAGGTGACTTTTATCAAAATATTCGCCTGTATTTACCCCCCAAAAATGAAATGCTAATTAGTTGCTAATATGGCTATCATAAAGAACTACAAATGCCATGATGATCTGGATGAGACTGCCGAATCAAGGCAAAGGTAAGAATCTCTGGATTAACTATCTAATGTCAGCTAAGTGTTGTAATGAATACATTGGCTAAATTTATTTAAATTGACAATTCTGTGAACTGTCTTGTGCACGTTTTTAATTGACACAATACCTGTTAGCAAAGGTGTCTACTAGAGATGAGGTGCAGGGATTTGTAGTTTTGCATGATGTCTACTTTGATGCTAATTAGCATTTTCGAATCTGAGAATAAAGAAAGCCGAATATATTGATAAAAGTCACCTGATTTACATGGTTATCAAAACATCACGCCAGGGTAAGCCTACACTAAACACAGCCCTTATTTTAAGGGTTTCTAAAATCCCCTATGGGAAAAATGAATGGTGGAAAAACAATTGGAAACATTTCCCTGTTTGACCGCTAGGTTTTATGGGTATTATGACACCTCAACTGTGGGGCTCTATGGAGGAGTGCCGACCGGTGGCTTCAATGCCTCTCAATGGCCAGTACATAGCATCAGCAATCCAGGGTTTATATACATCATTGGATGTGATACATCCTTGCTTCATACTGGTCCTCAGTGCAAGGTGTTGTGTAGAAAAGTGTTCCCTGTTTCCACTCGTCCCCCTCTGCTTGTCTGTTTGCTCTCTTCCTGAGGGAAAATGTGACGTTTGAGACACCAGACATGAGCTCAAGTATGGAACTATCACCACAAGCTGTCAGCAACATATTTGTGTGTGTGTGGATGTCTGACAGTTGATTAGCTCGGTCACCTTTGGACCCTCAAACAAGGGGAAGGGAGGCGAGACACACACACACACACACACACACACACACTTTGACAGGAAATGATGTAAGCAGGGACAGTGGAACAGGAAGTAGGTCGCCTTCAACATTGCCCTTAACCACAGATCAGCTTCTCCTACGCCCAAGCCTAACCTTAATCACTACAGGCAAGAATAGAAAACTGACCTTTGATCAGTGTCTAAGGGCAACTTCATCCTTCTCCATTGTGCAAGTCTGTGTGACACAAAACTCATTGCTGTGATCTGTACACACGTGTTTCTACGTGTTATGAAATATTTTTTTTCACACAGAATCGTTATTGTCCCAAAATGCTGTTTGCTTTGTTCTAAATACATACAGTACATGTCCCCCCACATTCTGAAATTGCATTTTTGTCCCCCCAGTTTTATCATTGGAATGTGCTACAAAACGAGGCAACGGTGTGCTTTAGGACCATGCAGTATAACGTTTATATTATAAACAGAAGTACAGAATTACAAATTCTTATAGAGCAGGACTCCCCAAATGGTGGACCGTTGTCCCCCAAGTTTTCTGGAAATGAGAGACACGTGATCTTATACAAATGTAAGCAAGGTTTGAAATGACTATGTTTTAGTCAAATATCTTGCAGTTAGTTTGCAGTCTACAAATTAATTGTAATTATATTCCGGCCCCCTGACCAATAAAGATTTTACTGAGTTAGAGTTCAAATAAGGAAATCAATCAATTGAAATAAATTCACTAGGCCCTAATCTATGAATTTCACATGACTAGGCAGAGGTGCCGCCAAGGGTGGGCCTTGGAGGACATAGGCCCACCCACTGGGGAGCCAGGCCCAGCCAATCAGAATGAGTTTATCCCGACTAAAGGGCTTTATTACAGACAGAAATACTCCTCAGCACATCCCCCCACCCCCCCTCAGACGATCCCAAAGTTGAAGATGCCGGATGTGGAGGTCCTGGGCTGGCGTGGTTACACATGGTCTGCGGTTGTGAGGCTGGTTGGATGTACTGCCAAATTCTCTATAAATGAAGTTGGAGGCAGCTTATGGTAGAGAAATGAACATTACATTCTCTGGAACAGCTCTGGTGGACATTCCTTCAGTCAGCATGCCAATTGCACGCTCCCTCAAAACTTGAGACATCTGTGGCATTGTGTTGTGTGACAAAACTGCACATTTTAGAGTGGCCTTTTATTGTCCCCAGCACAGGGTGCACCTGTGTAATGATCATGCTGTTTAATCAGCTTCTTGATATGCCACACCTGTCAGGTGAATGGATTATCTTGGCAAAGGAGAAATGCTCACTAACAGGGATGTAAACAAATTTGTGCACCAAATTTGAGAGAAATAAGCTTTTTGTGCATATGGAACATTTCTGGGATATTTTATTTCAGCTCATTAAACATGGGACCAACACTTTACATGTTGAGTTTATATTTTTGTTCAGTGTAGTTGATGATCCCTCTTATAGAGAATGAACAGAAAAGTATAGAAAAATGTCCAAAGCTGGGAAGGACGACGGTAGTTGGCATGTTGTTAGTTTGTGTATGTATGTTGAAGGACCTGTGTGTCAGTGATGTGTTACTGATGTGTATGTAGTTATTATGTAGTTGCATGTTCTTAGCGTGTAGTTAGTATATTATTAGCATATTGTATGTTCCTAACGTGTTGTACGTTATCTCCCATAGGACCCGTGGGTAAGAGAGGTGCACTGGGTTCAGTAACAGAAGTGCTGGGGTTGTTAACATGTTTGCAACGGGTTGTTACATGTTTTTAGCGTGTAGTTATTGTGTTGTTTATCGTCTCTTGTAGGACCCACGTGTCAGAGAGGTTTTGGGGTTCGGTAAACCAGGCGAGGGGGGTGTTGCCGTGGAGGGGAAGCTGGTAACGGTTGTCCACGGCAACGACCTGGCCAACGTATCCTTCCTCAACTTCCAGGCCATGCAGGAAGACACCGCCAAGGTTACCATGGAAATACCTTTCCGTCTCATCCATCACTCCTCTCATCCCTCTATCACTACCTTCTCTCCTCGCATCCCTCTATCACTCTCTTTTCTCGTTCCCTCCGCCCCTTTCCTCTCTCTTCCCTCCTTCCTTGAATTACCATTGGAAGACCTCGTCTCATCACTCTGTTCTCTCCTCTCCTCTCATCTCCTCTCACCCCTTTATCACTTTCTTTTATCCTCTACTTTCATCCATCCCTCCTCTCACCCCTTTATCACTGTGTTCTGTCCTCTCATCTATCGCTACCTCTGTCCCCTTCTCTCTCTCCCTTCCTTCCTTGACTTACAATGGAAACACCTCTACTCATCCCTCCCTCACTCGCCTCTCTCTATTGTTCCCTTTGTCTCTTCATTCTATCTTTCCTCCTTCCTTGACTTAACAAATAAACCACAATACTGTCCTATCACTCTCTTCTCTCTCGTTTACGTTTTTTTTTGTTTCTCTCTGTTTTCTTCACCCCCTCTCTCTCTCTTTCTCTTCTCTCTCCCTCTAACACTGAGCCGCTCACCTGTTCCTGTTGTTTGTTCCCGCCTCCTTTCTCTCTCCTCTCTCCTTCCTTCCCCCTCCACTCTCTCTGTTTTCCCCTTCTGGCTGTGTCTCAAATGACACCCTATTCCCTACATAGTGCACTACTTTTCACCAGAGCCCTATGGGCCTTAGTCAAAAGCAGTGCACTATATAGGGAGTAGGGTGCCATTTGGGACACGGCCTGTGTCTCTCAGTCCCTGCACTGATTGTGTTCTTCGTGATATTGAGTCTGTGGTTTTGTGTTTGTGTTTATAGAACTGTGGGTGGTATTACGGTTATGATTGTAAGTGCTGATCGTGTGTGTATCACTGTTCTTAATAATAATTGTTCACTGTGTGTGTGTGTGTTCAGGTGTGGACAGAGGAGCTGTTTAAACTGGCCACAAACATTCTGTCTCAGAATGCATCTCGCAACACCTTCCTCCTCAAAGCGTAAGTTGTGTGTGTGTGGCGTGTATCTTATTCATACTGACATAGCATGTTTTTTTATATTCTCTCTCTATCTCTCTCTCTCTCTCTCTCTCTCTCTCTCTCTCTCTCTCTCTCTCTCTCTCTCTCTCTCTCTCTCTCTCTCTCTCTCTCTCTCTCTCTCTCTTTTTCTCTCTCTCTCTCTCTCTCAGGTACACCAAGTTAAAGTTGCAGGTGAATCAGGATGGAAAGATTCCAGTGAAGAAGTGAGACACACACACACTACTGCTAATCCTGACATAGCTCTCAGACATGACTTCCTACTTCTCCTTTCTACCTCTTTTCTCAGTTTCACTTTCTCCCTCTGTTGTTCTCTCTCTCTCACTCTCTCTGTTTCTCTCTCTCTCTCTCTCTCTCTCTCTCTCTCTCTCTCTCTCTCTCTCTCTCTCTCTCTCTCTCTCTCTCTCTCTCTCTCTCTCTCTCTCTATCCCTCTCTCTCTATCCCTCTCTCTCAACTAATTTCAGTGTAACTGAAATCCAGCCAATGTAATGGTTTGTTTCCAAACTAAATGCAACATGGTTAGGTGAACTTAATTATTGCATCAAATTTAGTAAGACTGATTCTAACGATAACACATTCTCTCCCCCTCCATCTCTCTCCATTTCAATTCAATTTAAATGCTTTATTGGCGTGACAAAAAATTATTGTTGCCAAATCAACAATGCTGAACAATTCTCTCGCTCTCTCTCTTACCTCCCACCTTGTCTTCCTCCCTCTGTCTCCCTCTGTCTCCCTCTCTCCCTGCCTCGTTCCCTCCCCGTCTCTCTCTCTCGCTCCCTCCCTCCCTCCCCCTCTCCCTCTTCCCCTCCCTCTCTCCCCCTTTCCCTCCCTCCCTCGCTCTCTCTCTCAGTATTCTTAAGATGTTTTCTGATAAGAAGAGAGTGGAGACAGCGCTGGAGCAGTGTGGTCTGGTCACCAACAGGGTAATCTATCAATCAATCAATCAATCAACTATCAATCTATAATCAATCACCTCCCTGTCATAGTTATCAATAAAATGATTATTGATCCATTTATTCATGTGGTTGGAATAGTGTGGTCTGATCAGGGTAATCAATATATTGATCTATAACCAATAACCTCATCTCTAACCTGTCTGGCACAGTTATCAGTTATCAAATTCATACATAATCCTCCATTTATGTCTATCAGTGTCATCAGTAAACACAGTGTATGATGAAGTTGCCCCTAGACGCTGATCAGCATATGTGAACTGCTGAAAACATTGCAATGTCAGGTTCAAAGGTCGAAGTTCAAACCCGTTTCCTCTGTAATAACGTGGTGTCCCTTAAGGCTTCCGCATGCTTCCCATCTGAAACAGTTGGGAACAGTTCGTGCATATACTGTATTATTACGACATTTTGTGACTTTTTGGTTTTCGGCAAGGGTTTTCTCGGCTGTTCGTGCACACACCATTTTTTCTCGAGGCAAGCCGAAGTTCGGAGCTGAAGTCTACACCCCTTCGTTGGTCATTGGTCAACAGTAGGGATTCTTTAATGAAGTGTTTGTTGTCATTCAACGATAGACGACTCATTTGCATGCACATTTTTTCACGTGAGAAATACTGCACCAAACATCGTAGTTGGATGTAAAATTGCATGCGGAAGGTTTTAGTCATAGACCTCTGTCCATTTCTTCCTATGAAAACACACACACGCATACACAAACACACACACACACACACACATCAGTACCATGGCAACATAGTGTGTTGCCCTGGTAACTGTTGTATGTAGCTGGTCATAGCAGGGCTGTGTGTGTTTATTGTCCCATTCTGCCCCCTGCTGATACAATAACAGAAGGGCTGGTAAACTGACTGTTAAGGCTTCTACACATCTATTCATCTAAAGCCAACCCAACCATCTACGGACAGTTGTTGGGAGAATCTTGCTGGTGTATAGCCGTAGCTTGACATAGTTGTTCAAAGTTCTACCAGTTGGTGTTGGTGGGAAAACTACCCAACAGATCATCAATAGTTAGTTCGCTGTAGTTGGATAGATGTGTAGAAGCCTTTCAACTGACACGTTATCTCTTCTCTCGCTCTCTCTCCCTGCCTCCCTCTCTCCTTCTCCATTCATCCCTCCCTCCCTCTCTACAGGTAGAGGGCATTAAGCCAGATGATTTTACATGGGAGATGTTCCAGAGCTTTCTACACAGTCTCTGTCTACGACCAGAGATAGAACGCATCTTCGTCGAGCTGTGAGTCACTCCCACACGCACATGAACGCATGAATGTGCGCACATACACACACACACACACACACACAAACAAACAAAAAAGCGCACACACACACCAAAATTACCAAAATAACATGTTATGATACCATCATAATAGAATGTTGTGATGCTAGACCGCACCAGATTCAAATCTCAACACTATCCCCCCCCCAGTGGTTCTAAGGGAAAGCCGTTCCTCTCCTTGGATCAGCTGACCGACTTTATAAACCGTCGTCAGAGAGACTCTCGTCTCAACGAAGTCCTCTATCCTCCTCTGAAGAGAGAACAGATCAGACAACTGATGGAGAAATACGAGAGCAACGCTAGCCAGTTGGAGAGAGGTGACGGGGGGGAAAGAGAGAGTGTGTGTGGTTGTTGTGTGTATATTTGTTTGAACAGACATGTTTGTGTTTATTTTAGTGTTTGATCACTCACTTCTCTTCCCACTTTCTCTCTCTCCCTCTCTCTCTCTTCACTCCTTCCCTCCTTTCTCTCTCGCCCTTTCTCTCTCTCTCCAGACCAGATCAGTCTGATGGGGTTCAGTAAATATCTTGGGGGAGAAGAGAATACCATCGTTCCACCAGAGAGACTGGACATCATAGATGATATGAACCAGCCCCTGTCCCACTACTTTATCAACTCTTCACACAACACATACCTCACAGGTAGGTACACAGACACACACCCAGACACACACACAAATGCATCCAAACACGTCACAGGTACACACACACTGAGATATGCACACAGACAAGCCTCACAGCTACACATGTATGTACCTCACAGACACACACACACACACAGGTAGCCTAGCGGTTAAGAGCGTTGGGCCAGTAACTGAAAGGTCGCTGGTTTGAATCCCCGAGCCGGCCAGATGGAAAAATCAAGCAAGGCAGTTAATCCCCAACAACAACTGCTCCCCAGGCGCCGATGACATGGACGTTGATTCAGGCAGCCCCCCGCACCTCTCTGATTCAGAGGGGTTGGGTTAAATGTGGAAGACACATTTTGGTTGAACGCATTCAGTTGTGCAACTGACTAGGTATCCCCTTTCCCACATTTAGATACACCCACATACACATGCCACACATACACACACAATCATACACTTGCCGTTCGCACACTCTTCTCACTCATTCTTACCCCCCCCCACAGTTGGTCAGTTGACCGGTCTGTCGTCGGTAGAGATGTATCGCCAGGTGTTGCTGACCGGTTGTCGCTGTATAGAGCTGGACTGTTGGAAAGGACGGCCGCAGGATGAAGAACCATACATCACACATGGCTTTACCATGACCACCGAGATACCCTTCAAGGTGTGTGAGTGTGGTGGGGGGGTCAGTATGTGTGTGTACTTCTACACTGAACAAAAATATTAACGCAACATGTAAAGTGTTGGTCCAATGTTTCATGAGCTGAAATAAAAGATCCCTGAAATATTCCATATGCACAAAAAGCTTATTTCTCTCAAATTTGGTGCACAAATTTGTTTACATCCCTGTTAGTGAGCATTTCTCCTTTGCCAAGATAATCCATCCACCTGGCAGGTGTGGCATATCAATAAGCTGATTTAACAACATGATCATTACACAGGTGCACCTTCTGCTGGGGACAATAAAAGGCCACTCTAAAATGTGCCGTTTTTGTCACACAACACAATGCCACAAATGTCTCAAGTTTTGAAGGAGCGTGCAATTGGCATGCTGACTGCAGGAATGTCCAACAGAGCTGTTGCCAGATAATTGAATGTTCATTTCTCTACCATAAGCCTTCTCCAACATTTTTTGGCAGTACGTCCAACATCATTTTTTGGCAGAATTTGGCAGTACGTCCAACCGACCACACAACTGCAGACCACTTGTATGGCGCCGTGTGGGCAAGTGGTTTGCTGATGTCAATGTTGTGAACAGAGTCCTAGATGGTGGTGGTGGGGTTATGGTATAGGCAGGCATAAGCTACAGACAAAGGATGTCTGACCACCATGAGGCAAATGGTGGTCAGACCAGATACTGACAGGTTTTCTGATCCACGACCCTACCTTTTTTAAAAAAAGGTATCTGTGACCAACAGATGCATACAATGGGGAAAAAAAGTATTTAGTCAGCCACCAATTGTGCAAGTTCTCCCACTTAAAAAGATGAGAGAGGCCTGTAATTTTCATCATAGGTACACGTCAACTATGACAGACAAAATGAGAGAATTTTTTTCTCCAGAAAATCACATTGTAGGATTTTTTATGAATTTATTTGCAAATTATGGTGGAAAATAAGTATTTGGTCAATAACAAAAGTTTCTCAATACTTTGTTATATACCCTTTGTTGGCAATGACACAGGTCAAACGTTTTTCTGTAAGTCTTCACAAGGTTTTCACACACTGTTGCTGGTATTTTGGCCCATTCCTCCATGCAGATCTCCTCTAGAGCAGTGATGTTTTGGGGCTGTCGCTGGGCAACACGGACTTTCAACTCCCTCCAAAGATTTTCTATGGGGTTGAGATCTGGAGACTGGCTAGGCCACTCCAGGACCTTGAAATGCTTCTTACGAAGCCACTCCTTCGTTGCCCGGGTGGTGTATTTGGGATCATTGTCATGCTGAAAGACCCAGCCACGTTTCATCTTCAATGCCCTTGTGATGGAAGGAGGTTTTCACTCAAAATCTCACGATACATGGCCCCATTCATTCTTTCCTTTACACGGATCAGTCGTCCTGGTCCCTTTGCAGAAAAACAGCCCCAAAGCATGATGTTTCCACCCCCATGCTTCACAGTAGGTATGGTGTTCTTTGGATGCAACTCAGCATTCTTTGTCCTCAAAACACGACGAGTTGAGTTTTTACCAAAAAGTTCTATTTTGGTTTCATCTGACCATATGACATTCTCCCAATCCTCTTCTGGATCATCCAAATGCACTCTAGCAAACTTCAGACGGGCCTGGACATGTACTGGCTTAAGCAGGGGGACACGTCTGGCACTGCAGGATTTGAGTCCCTGGCGGCGTAGTGTGTTACTGATGGTAGGCTTTGTTACTTTGGTCCCAGCTCTCTGCAGGTCATTCACTAGGTCCCCCCGTGTGGTTCTGGGATTTTTGCTCACCGTTCTTGTGATCATTTTGACCCCACGGGTTGAGATCTTGCGTGGAGCCCCAGATCGAGGGAGATTATCAGTGGTCTTGTATGTCTTCCATTTCCTAATAATTGCTCCCGCAGTTGATTTCTTCAAACCAAGCTGCTTACCTATATCAGATTCAGTCTTCCCAGCCTTGTGCAGGTCTACAATTTTGTTTCTGGTGTCCTTTGACAGCTCATTGGTCTTGGCCATAGTGGAGTTTGGAGTGTGACTGTTTGAGGTTGTGGACAGGTGTCTTTTATACTGATAACAAGTTCAAACAGGTGCCATTAATACAGGTAACGAGTGGAGGACAGAGGAGCCTCTTAAAGAAGAAGTTACAGGTCTGTGAGAGCCAGAAATCTTGCTTGTTTGTAGGTGACCAAATACTTATTTTCCACCATAATTTGCAAATAAATTCATTAAAAATCCTACAATGTGATTTTCTGGATTTTTTTTCCTCAATTTGTCTGTCATAGTTGACGTGTACCTATGATGAAAATTACAGGCCTCTCATCTTTTTATGTGGGAGAACTTGCACAATTGGTGGCTGACTAAATACTTTTTTCCCCCACTGTATCTGTATTCCCAGTCATGTGAAATCCATAGATTAGGACCTAATTAATTTATTTCAATTGACTGATTTCCTTATATGAATTGTAATTCAGTAAAATCTTTGAAATTGTTGCATGTTGCGTTTATGTTTTTGTTCAGTATACATCACACACAGCTTCACCACCCTTCAAGGTTCTAAACCACACATATTATTGGATGTGTCTGAAATGGAATTCTATTCCCTATGTAATGGACTACTTTTGACCTCTCTCTCTCTTCTCTGTCTCTCTCCTATAGGAGGTGATTGAAGCGATAGCAGAAAGTGCGTTTAAGACCTCTCCCTATCCCGTAATCCTCTCCTTCGAAAACCATGTTGACTCGTGAGTGATCATTCTGGGTAGTGATAAGGAGAATGGCTCAAAAAAACAAAAACAAAAAAACATTCTCTCTTATTCCGTTCATTTGTTTTTTTTCTCTCTCTCTCGTTCCCCCGCTCATACCATCCCTCTCTCAGGGCGAAGCAGCAGGCCAAGATGGCGGAGTATTGTCGGACTATCTTTGGCGACGCCCTCCTCATCGACCCTCTAGAGAAATACCCGGTAGGCCTGGTTAGGGGTTAGAGGTCAGGGGTTAGGGTTAGGGGTTAGATGTTGGGGTGATTCTTAAGGGCGGGACATACCATAACAGATGTCAACGTTGTGCGGTAGATCACCTGTTGGGTGGAATGAAACAGAAAATGACAGCGGATGTTCTGTGGTCAGAGGTGATAGGACTGCCAGCTGCTGCGCATGACCAACGTTCATTATTGTGTAAAGAAAGTGTATCCTAACGCGCTTCAGCCCAGCTTAAACAAAAAAGGGGAATCAGGTGCTCGACTGAGGTACTTGAAAATCCCCAAAACATTCCTTACCCCCATGATACTTCAAAAAAGGAAGAAAAAGGAAGAAAAAAGAGCACTCTGTTTCTGCATAGAACTGATACGTTTATTCACGGGACATACAAACAGGCTTATGTTTCGGCATAATGGGACAATAATCGCCTTTATCAGAGCCTCTCAGTAATAAACATCATTATGTGAGGCTCTGATGAAGTGTTCTGGGGTAAGGAATGTTTTTTGGGTCATTATGGTGTGTCCTATCCTTTAGGACAGGGTTCCCGAACTGGTGGTCTGCGGACCGAATTTGTGGTTTTATTTGGCCCCCCAAATTTTCTGAACAATATTTGTTTTTATTGTTGGAAGTAATTTTAACATTTTTAAATTGAACCTTTATTTAACCAGGTAAGACCCATTGAGGTTAAAAACCTATTTTGCGAGGGCGACCTGGCAAGAAGGAAAAGCAGGGAAATAGCAGCGTTAAGCAGGTAAATAGCAGCGGCAAAACAGGGAAATAGCACCAGAAAATCAGTTTCAAGTTATTGAAATTTTTGAAATCTGTTCCCAAGTATTCCCACGCATAATAGAGAGACACGTGATCGTAAACAAATGTAAGCAAGATTTGAAATGATTATGTTTTAGTCAAATATTATATCTGTTTGGGCTTCTTGTGGTTAATTTGCAGTGTACTAATTATTTTTGATTATGTTCTGGCCCCCACGACCAGCCGCTCAAGATAAAATCGGCCCGCGGCTGAATCTAGTTGATGATCCCTGCTTTAGGAGCTGGTTCTAGATCATCCCTTAAACCTTTTTACTAATGTATTATATGTATTATTATTCCTATAGCTGATCCCAGCGCTGCTCTTACTGTCTCCTCAGAAGCTGACTCCAGATCAGCCCTTACAATAACTGTATTAACATATTATATTTTGTCCCCTCTAACAGCTGATCCCTGCGCAGCCCTTACCCTCGCCCCAGGAGCTGCTGGGTAAGATTCTGATTAAGAACAAGAAGAAGCACCACCACCGAGCGTCCAGCGGGGGCAGCATGAGGAGGAGGACAGGAGAAATAGACGCTCTGGAGCAGGCTTCACCTGTTAACGGTATATACAATATATACATTGCATTCGGAAAGTATTCAGACCCCTTTACTTTTTCCACATTTTGTTACGTTACAGCCTTATTCTAAAATGGATTAAATTGTTGTTGTTTTTCATCAATCTACACACAATACCCCATAATGACAAAGTAAAAACAGATATTTTTGCAAATGTATTAATAATAAAACCCGGAAATATCACATACATTTACATAAGTATTCAGACCCTTTACTCAGTACTTTGTTGAAGCACCTTCGGCAGCGTTTACAGCCTCAAGTCTTCTTGGGTATGAAGCTACACGCTTGGCACACCTGTATTTGGGGAGTTTCTTCCATTCTTCTCTGCAGATCCTCTCAAGCTGTGTCAGGTTGGATGGGGAGTGTCGCTACACAGCTATTTTCAGGTATCTCCAGAGATGTTTGATCGGGTTCAAGTCCGGGCTTGACATTGAGGCTTGTCCCGAAGCCACTCCTGCATTGTCTTGGCTGTGTGTTTCCTGTTCGAAGGTGAACCTTCGCCCCCAGTCTGAGGTCCTGATCGCTCTGAAGCAGCTTTTCATCAAGGATCTCTCTTTACTTTTTTCTTCTTTCCCTCGATCCTGACTAGTCTCCCAGTCCCTGCTGCTGAAAAACATCCCCACAGCATGATGCTGCCACAACCATGCTTCGCTGTAGGGATGGTGCCAGGTTTCCTCCAGACGTGACGCTTGGCATTCAGGCCAAAGAGTTCAATCTTGGTTTCATCAGACCAGAGAATCATGTTTCTCATGGTCTGAGAGTCTTTAAGTGCCTTTTGGCAAAATCCAAGCGGGCTGTCATGTGCCTTTTACTGAGGACTGGCTTCAGTCTGGCCACTCTACCATAAAGGCCTGATTGGTGGAGTGCTGCAGAGATGGTTGTCCTTCTCCCATCTCCACAGAGGAACTCTGGAGCTCTGTCAGAGTGACCATCGGGTTCTTGGTCACCTCCCTTAATAAGGCCCTTCTCCCCCGATTGTTCAGTTTGGCCGGGCGGCCAGCTCTAGGAAGAGTCTTGGTGGTTTCAAACGTCTTCCATTTAAGAATGATGGAGGCCACTGTGTTCTTGGGGACTTTCAATGCTGCAGAATTTTTTTGGTAACCTTTCCCAGATCTGTGCCTCGACACAATCCTGTCTCTGAGCTCTACGGACAATTGCTTTTGCTCTGACATGCACTGTCAACTGTGGGACCTTATATATGCCAAAACTATAGTTTATTAACAAGAAATTTGTGGAGTGGTCGGAGTCATTAAAACTTGTTTTTCAACCACTCCACAAATTTCTTGTTAACAAACTATAATTTTGGCATTTATAAGGTCCCACAGTTGACAGTGCATGTCAGAGCAAAAGCAATTGTCCGTAGAGCTCAGAGACAGGATTGTGTCGAGGCACAGATCTGGGAAAGGTTACCAAAAAAATTCTACTTTGTGCATGACACAAGTCATTTTTCCAAAAATTGTTTACAGACTGTTTCACTTATAATTCACTGTATCACAATTCCAGTGGGTCAGACGTTTACATACACTAAGTTGACTGTGCCTTTAAACATCTTGGAAAATTCCAGAAAATGATGTCATTGCTTTAGAAGCTTCTGATAGGCTAATTGACATCATTTGAGTCAATTGGAGGTGTACCTGTGGATGTATTTCAAGGCATACCTTTGCTTGAAAATAAAAAGAAATCAGCCAAGACCTCAGAAAAAAATTGTAGACCTCCACAAGTCTGGTTCATCCTTGGGAGCAATTTCCAAAAGCCTGAAGGTACCACGTTCATCTGTACAAACAATAGTACGCAAGTATAAACACCATGGGACCACGCAGCCGTCATACTGCTCAGGAAGGAGACGCGTTCTGTCTCCTAGAGATGAACGTACTTTGGTGCGAAAAGTGCAAATCAATCCCAGAACAACAGCAAAGGACCTTGTGAAGATGCTGGAGGGAACAGGTACAAAAGTATCTATATCCACAGTAAAACAAGTCCTATATCGACATAACCTGAAAGGCCGCTCAGCAAGGAAGAAGCCACTGCTCCAAAACCGCCATAAAAAAAGCAAGACTACAGTTTGCAACTGCACATGGGGATAAAGATCGTACTTTTTGGAGAAATGTCCTCTGGTCTGATGAAACAAAAATAGAACTGTTTGGCCGTAATGACCATCGTGATGTTTGGAGGAAAAAGGGGGAGCTTGCAAGCCGAAGAACAACATCCCAACCGTGAAGCACGGGGGTGGCAGCATCATGCTGTGGGGGTGCTTTGCTGCAGGAGGGACTGGTGCACTTCACAAAATATATGGCATCATGAGGAAGGAAAATGATGTGGATATATTGAAGCAAAACATCAGTCAGGAAGTTCAAGCTTGGTCGCAAATGGGTCTTCCAAATGGACAATGACCCCAAGCATACTTCCAAAGTTGTGGCAAAATGGCTTAAGGACAACGAAGTCAAGGTATTGGAGTGGCCATCACAAAGCCCTGCTTTGAAAGGCTGGTCATGGCTCACATCAACACCATTATCTCCGAAACCCTAGACCCACTCCAATTTGCATACCGCTCCAACAGATCCACAGATGATGCAATCTCTATTGCACTCCACACTGCCCTTTCCCACCTGGACAAGAGGAACACCTACGTCAGAATGCTATTCATTGACTACAGCTCAGCATTCAACACCATAGTGCCCTCAAAGCTCATCACTAAGCTAAGGATCCTGGGACTAAACATCTCCTCTGCAACTGGATCCTGGACTTCCTGACGGGCCGCCCCCAGGTGGTAAGGGTAGGTAACAACACATCTGCCACACTGATCCTCAACACGAGGGCCCCTAAGGGGTGCATGCTCAGTCCCCTCCTGTACTCCCTGTTCACCCATGACTGCATGGCCAGGCACGACTCCAACACCATCATTAAGTTTGCCGACGACACAACAGTGGTAGGCCTGATCACCGACAACGATGAGACAGCCTATAGGGAGGAGGTCAGAGACCTGGCCGTGTGGTGCCAGGATAACAACCTCTCCCTCAACGTGACCAAGACAAAGGAGATGATTGTGGACTACAGGAAAAAAAAGAGGACTGAGCACGCCCCCATTCTCATCGACGGGGCTGTAGTGGAACAGGTTGAGAGCTTCAAGATCCTTGGTGTCCACATCACCAACTAACTATCATGGTCCAAACACACCAAGACAGTCGTGAAGAGGGCACGACAAAGCCTATTCCCCCTCAGGAGACTGAAAACATTTGGCATGGGTCCTCAGATCCTCAAAAAATTCTACAGCTGCACCATCGAGAGCATCCTGACTGGTTGCATCACCGCCTGGTATGGCAACTGCTTGGCCTCCGACCGCAAGGCACTACAGAGGGTAGTGCTTACGGCCCAGTACATCACTGGGGCCAAGCTTCCTGCCATCCAGGACCTCTATACCAGGCAGTGTCAGAGGAAGGCCCTCAAAATTGTCAAAGACTCCAGCCACCCTAGTCATAGACTGTTCTCTCTGCTACCGCACGGCAAGCGGTACCGGAGTGCCAAGTCTAGGTCCAAAAGACTTCTCAACAGCTTCTACCCCCAAGCCATAAGACTCCTGAACAGCTAATCATGGCTACCCGGACTATTTGCACTGCCCCCCCACCCCCACCCCCCACCCCATCTTATTACGCTGCTGCTACTCTGTTAATTATTTATGCATAGTCACTAACTCTACCCACATGTACATATTACTTCAACTACCTCAACTAGCCGGTGCCCCCGTACATTGACTCTGCACCGGTATATATAGTCTCCCTACTGTTATTTTATTTTAATTCTGCTCTTTTTTTTCTCAACACTTTTTTGTTGTTGTTTTATTTTACTTTTTGATTAAAAATAAATGCACTGTTGGTTAAGGGCTGTAAGTAAGCATATCACTGTAATGTCTGCACCTGTTGTATTCGGCGCATGTGGCTAATACAATTTGATTTGATTTGATTTGACCTCAATCCTATAGAAGATTTTTGGGGAGAACTGAAAAAGCGTGTGCGAGCTAGGAGGCCCTTTAAACCTGACTCAGTTACACCAGCACTGTCAGGAGGAATGGGCCAAAATTCACCCAACTTATTGTGGGAAGCTTGTGGAAGGCTACCCAAAACGTTTGACCCAAGTTAAACAATTTAAAGGCAATGCTACCAAATTCTAATTGAGAGTATGTAAACTTCTGACCCACTGGGAATGTGATGAAAGAAATAAAAGCTGAAAGAAATAATTCTCTCTACTATTATTCTGACATTTCACATTCTTAAAAACTCTCACACAAAACCCACACACATTCACATACGCTACATACACACACACATAACACAGAAACGCATACCGACACAACACAGACACACATACAAACACATGCACACATACACACTTTAACGCTCAACATATGCTGCTGCTACTCTATTCTTTATTTTACTCTTATTATTATCTATCCTGATGCCTAGTCACTTTACCCTGCCTTCATGGACAAACAGTGAGCTCCAAGTGTATTGGGACAGTGACACGTTTTGTTGTTTTGGCTCTCTACTCCAGCACTTTGGATTTGAAATGATACAATGACTATGAGGTTAAAGTGCAGACTGTTTTAGGGGACCTAAATATTGGGACAGATTCACTAATATGTTTATTAATGTAGTCTAAAGTTTAGTATTTGGTCCCATATTCCTAGCACACATTGATTACGTCAAGCTTGTGACTGTGTTGTGTCGGTATGCGTGTGTATGTTATGTGTGTGCGTACTATACTCAAACAAACTGGTTGGATGCATTTGTCGTTTGTTTTGGTTGTGTTTCAGATTATTTTGTTCCTAATAGAAATTAATGGTAAATAATGTATTGTGTCATTTTGGAGTCACATTTATTGTAAATAAGAATATACTATGTTTCTAAACACTTCTACATTAATGTGGATGCTACCATGATTACGGATAGTCCTGAATGAATTATGAATAATGATGAGTAAGAAAGTTACAGTTGCACAAATATATTATATTCTTATTTACAATAAGAATTACTCCAAAATGATACAATACACTATTTACCATTGATTAACAAACACAACCAAAACAAACAGCAAATGCATCCAACAAGTTTGTAGAGTCACAAGCTTGATGTAGTCATTGCGTGCAAGGAATATGGGACAAAATACTAAACTTTTGACTACTTTAATACACATATAAGTGAATTTGTCCCAATACTTTTGGTCCCCTAAAATGGGGGGACTGTACAAAAAGTGCTGTAATTTATAAACGGTTCACACGATATGGATGAAAATACCCTCAAATTACAGCTGACAGTCTGCACTTCAACCTCATAGTCATTGTATAATTTGAAATCCAAACTGCTGGAGTCAGAGCCAAAACAACAACAAAATGTGTCACTGTTCCAATACTTTTGGAGTTCACTGTATCTACATCGAATACCTTGCTCTGGTACTGGTACTCCCTGTATATAGCTCCATTCTTGTGTATTTTATTCCTCTTGTGTTACTACTTTTCTTTTTATTATTATTTGCATCGTTGAAGGGCTCGTAAGCGAGCATTTCACGTTTAAGTCTACATCCGTTGTATTCGGCACATGTGACAAATACAATTTTATTTTGATTAGACACACACACACACATTGCCAAAGCTATTCTGTTTTGAATGTGTGCTATATTACTTTTCCTGTTCTATATAATATAATGACAAGCGTGTGCATGTGTTTGTGTGTGCACTTACAGAGGACCTACTGTATCATCCTATCATCCTTTCATTCCTTCCTCTACCTTCTCTTCCTCTGTATCTGCTGCTAAAGCCACTTTCTACCACTCTAAATTTCAACTTCTGCCTCTAACCATAGGAAACTATTTTCCACCTTCTCCTCCCTCCTTAATCCTCCACCCCCTCCCACCACCTCCTCCCTCTCTGCGGACGACTTTGTCAACCACTTTGAAAAAAAGGTTGACGACATCCGCTACTCATTCACTCAGCCTATTGAGTCCCTTGGTCTCACTCACACCGAACTACCCCACACCTTGACCTCGCTCCAGATGAAATCCTGCGACTAGTGAGGTCTGGCCGCCCGACAACCTGCCCGCTCGACCCCATCCCCTCCTCCCTTCTCCAGACCATCTCTGGAGACCTTCTCTCATTCCTCACCTCCCTCATCAACTCATCCCTGACCACTGGCTGCGTCCCCTCTGACTTCAAAATGGCCTGAGTCGCTCCCCTCCTCAAGAAACAAACATTCGACTCATCTGATGCCAAAAACTATAGACCTGTATCCCTTCTTTCTTTTCTTTCCAAAACACTTGAGCATGCTGTCTCTGATTAACTTTCTCCTTATCTCTCTCAGAACGATCTTCTTAACCCTAACCAGTCAGGCTTCAAGACGGGCCACTCAACCGAGACTGCTCATCTCTGTGTCATGAAGGCTGTCCACACTGCCAAAGCTGACTCTCTCCTCTGTTCTCATCTTCCTAGATCTATCCGCTGCCTTCGACACCGTGAACCATCAGATCCTCTTCTCCATTCTCTCAGGTCTGTTAGTCTCAGGCTCTGCACACTCTTGGATTGCATCCTACCTGGCAGGCCGCTCCTACCAGGTGACGTGGAGAGGATTTGTGTCTGCACCACGTACTCTCACGACTGGTGTCCCCCAGGGCTCGGTTCTAGACCCTCTCCTCTTCTCTCTATACACCAAGTCACTCGGCTCCGTCATATCCTCACATAGTCTCTCCTATCGTTGCTATGCGGATAACACTCAACTACTTTTCTCCTTCCCCCCTTCTCAAATCAAATCAAATCAAATTGTATTTGTCACATACACGTGTTTAGCAGATGTTATTGCAGGTGTAGCGAAATGCTTGTGCTTCTAGCTCCGACAGTGCAGTAATATCTAACAAGTAATATCTAACAATTTCTGACACTCAGGTGGCGACATGCATCTCTGTGTGCCTGGCAGATATCTCAACTTGGATGTCGCCCCACCACCTCAAGCTCAACCTCGACAAGATGGCGGTGCTCTTCCTCCGTCACAGAAGGCCTGTCACAGTTGACAACTCCACAGTGTCACCCTCCCAGAGTGCAAAGAACCTTGGCGTGACCCTGTCGTTCTCTGCAAACATCAAAGCAGTGACTCGCTCCTCTCCAACATCCGTAGGGTATGACCATACCTCACACAGGAAGCAGCGCAGGTCCTAATCCAGGCACTTGTCCTCTCCCGTCTGGAGTACTGCTACTTGCTGTTGGCTGGGCACCCTGCTTGTGTCATCAAACCCCTGCAACTTATTCAGAACGCTGCATCCCGCCTGGTTTCAACCTTCCCAAGTTTTCTCACGTCACCCCTCTCCTCCGCACACTCCACTGGCTTCCAGTCGAAGCTCACATCCACTACAAAACCATGGTTCTTACCTACAGAACAGCAAGAGGAACTGCCCCTCCCTACCTTCAGGCTATGCTTTAACCCTACACCCCAACCCTCAGGTCTCTTGGCCCACCCACCCCTAGCTCCCGCTCAGCCCAGTCCAAGCTCTTCTCTGTCCTGGCACCCCAATGGTGGAACCAGCTTCCCCCTGAAGCTAGGGCAGTAGAGTCTCTGTCCATCTTCCGAAAACATCTGAAACCCTACCTCTTCAAATAGTATCTTCAAAAATCCTCCTCCTCACCTCTGACTATAATGATAGCTACTTTATTGAGGAAAAATGTACTTTCTATGCCTGTGATATGTGGTTATCCCACCTAGCTATCTTAAGATGAATGCACTAAATGTCTGCTAAATTATTCAAATGTGTGTGTGTGTGTGTGTGTGTGTGTGTGTGTGTGTGTGTGTGTGTGTGTGTGTGTGTGTGTGTGTGTGTGTGTGTGTGTGTGTGTGTGTGTGTGTGTGTGTGTAGACTACCCATTCAGTGACAGCGAGGGGGGCCAGCTGCTGTCCAATGGGGAAGAGAAGCTGGCAGAGAGTCTGGTCAAAGACGGAGATCCTCGCAAGTCAATTGGTCAGTTCACATCTTGAATGAAGAACATGCTGGGGAGGGAGGGAGGGATGGAGAGAGGAAGGGAAGAGAGAAGGATGGATTGGTGAATGGATGGAGGACATTGGTAACATTTGTGTGTGTGTGTGTGTGTATGTTTTCTAGGAGGGGAGGGAGAGAGTGATGAGGAGGAGGAAGATGAACCTGTGGCTGAACTGAAGAAACCAAACTCTGATGAGGTGAGACCTCTATTTATTGATTGATTGATTTATTGACCTTCATTGATCCCCAGAGGGTTCTATCTACGTGGGTCAGCCCATTGATAGAATTAACACATATAATGATTCTCTCTCTTTCTCTCTCCGTCTCTCTCTCTCTGTCTCAGGGTACTGCCAGTAGTGAGGTGAATGCGACAGAGGAGATGTCTACTCTTGTCAACTACATAGAACCTGTCAAGTTCAAGAGCTTTGAGGTCGCAAACAGTGAGTGTGTGTGTCTGATGAAAGCAAGTAAGGTGTGTGTGTGTGTGTCAATGATGTGCATCATTGGTGTGTGTGCGTTTGTGTGTGTGAGTGAGCGGTTAGTTGTCGTTAGGCCTAATCACCCCTCTCAAGTAGTGCATTAGGCTAGCTAAATTACTAATTCATAGTTAATTATTAGCCAAGAGACACACACACACACACACACTGACACATTGATTGATTTGAACTGATTTTTATATATTCTCTCTCTCTCTCACAGAGAGGAATAAGTATTTTGAGATGTCATCGTTCGTGGAGACCAAGGGTATGGACACACTGAAGAGTGCACCTATCGAGTTTGTTGAGTACAATAAGAAGCAGCTGAGTCGTATCTATCCTAAGGGGACAAGAGTAGACAGTTCGAACTACATGCCCCAACTCTTCTGGAACGTAGGCTGTCAGATGGTGGCTCTAAACTTCCAGACACTCGGTAAGTCGACCTTTCTTTCTTATACCTGAACTCTTCTTATCTTCTCATACCTTTCTCTTTCCTTCTGTTCAGTCTTCTGTCCCCCTGCTTCACTTATTTCCATGACTGACAATCTCCCTCTATCTCCCCCCTCTCTCTCAGACCTGCCCATGCAGTTGAACATGGGTGTGTTTGAGTATAATGGACACAGTGGCTACCTGCTCAAACCAGAGTTTATGAGAAGGACAGATAAACACTTTGACCCCTTCACTGAGAACATTGTGGACGGCATCGTAGCCAACACCGTCAAGATCAGGGTAAGTGGGTGTGTGGGGGGGGGGGGGGGGGGGGGGGTACGTGTGTGTGTTTATGTATGTGTCTGTAACCATCTCCTTCTCTCCATCCGTCCATCTCCAGGTGATCTCGGGACAGTTCCTGACCGATAAGAAAGTGGGCGTGTACGTGGAAGTGGACATATTTGGACTTCCTGCTGACACAAAGAGGAAGTACCGTACCAGAACGTCCAATGGTAACAGCCTGGACCCGGTCTGGGATGATGAGACTTTTGTCTTCAACAAGGTAACATTAATACAGGCTGAAGACACACACACACCATATCGATACACACACTCACACAGTGTACAAAACGTTAGGAACACCTGCTCTTTCCATGACATAGACAGACCAGGTGAATGTACTGTACATATTACCTCAATCAATCACCCCAACTACCTCGTACCCCAGTACACTGACTCGGTACCTCCCGAGTGGCGCAGTGGTCTAAGGCACTGCATCGCAGTGCTAGCTGTGCCACTAGAGATCCTGGTTCGAATCCAGGCTCTGTCGTAGCTGGCCGTGACCGGAAGACCAATGGGGCGGCGCACAATTGGCCTAGCGTCGTCTAGGGTAGGGGAGGGAATGGCCGGCAGGGATGTAGCTCAGTTGGTAGAGCATGGCGTTTGCAACGCCAGGGTTGTGGGTTCGATTCCCACGGGGGTATGAAAAAAAATAATGTAAGTCGCTCTGGATAAGAGCGTCTGCTAAATGATGTAAATAAGCCTCGTTATTTTATTGTGATACTATTTTCTTTTTAACTTTTTGTTATTTTTCTTATTTTTGACTACATTGTTGGGAAAGGGCTCGTAAGTAAGCATTTCACGGTAAAGTCTACACTTGTATTCGGCGTATGTGACAAATAACATTTGATTTGAATTGAGATATGGATTGGGTATGTGTGACATTCAGAGGGTGAATGGGTAAGACAACTTGACACAACTGTGGGAAGCATTGTATTCAACATGGGCCAGCATCCCTGTGGAACGCTTTCGACACTTTGTAGAGTCCATGCCACTACGAATTGAGGCTGTTCTGAGGGTAAAAGGAGGTGCCACGCAATATTAGGAAGGTGTTCCTAATGTTTCGTACACTCAGTGTATATCAATATACACACATAACGATACACACATACACAAGGTAACAACTCATTCTGTGTGTAGGTGGTCCTGCCCACCCTGGCCTCTCTGAGGATAGCGGTGTTTGAGGAGAACGGGAAGTTCCTCGGACATCGGATCTGCCCTGTGTCAACAATCCGACCGGGTCAGTACTGTGTTTGTCTGCCTGGCTATGTGTGTGTGTGCGGATCTTTTGGATCTTGTCTCGTGCAATCTGTTCTCTCAATGCTGTCATCTTGTGTGTGTGTGTTTGTGTAGGTTACCACTACATCAGTCTGAAGAATGAGATGAACCAGCCTCTGTTGCTGCCCTCTCTATTGGTCTACACCGAGGCTCAAGACTACATTCCTAATGAACACCAGGGTAAGAAACTACACTACCCATAACCTCATAGGACTACACTACCCATAATCCCCTAGCACTACACTACTCATAACCCCCTGGGACTATAATACCCATAACCCCTAGGACTACACTACCATAATCCCATAGGACTACAATACCCATAATCCCCCAGCACTACATTACCCATAATCCCCGAGCACCACAATACCCATAATCCTTTAGGACTACACTATCCATAACCCCTTAGGACTACACTACCCATAACCCCTAGGACTACACTACCCATAACCCTCTAGACTACATCCCTAACAAACACCAGGGTGGCCTCCCGAGTGGCGCAGTGGTCTGCGATGCAGTGCTAGCTGTGCCACTAGAGATCCTGGTTCGAATCCAGGCTACGACCGGGAGACCCATGGGGCGGCGCATAATTGGCCCTGTGTCGTCCAGGGTAGGGGAGGGAATGGCCGGCAGGGATGTAGCTCAGTTGGTGGAGCGTGGCGTTTGCCAGGGTTGTGGGTTCAATTCCCACGGGGGGCCAGTATGAAAAATCAAATAATGTATGCACTCACTAACTGTAAGTCGCTCTGGATAAGAGTGTCTGCTAAAATGTAATGTGGCGTTCATGACCTGAGTTATCAGAATTTCCAACTAAGAAAACCTGTTCCCTTCCATGTCGTCATAACAAATCAGAAACTGGGGTATCATCTGTCTACCTTGAGTTTACAGACATGCTGAACTCTGATGTCACCTACTAAGAAAATGACTTTGATGACAGCATTTTTCTGCAGTTAAATCCAAGAACAACAAACATTACTAAGTATGTGTACTAGGTTTTGGCACATTGCTCATTTTTGTGTTGTGTGTTTATGTTAGAGTATGCTGAGGCCTTGACCAACCCCATCAAACATGTGAGTCTCTTGGACCAGAGAGAGAGACAGCTAGCTGCTCTGATGGAGGACAACGGCGAGGTGAGGAGACCACACACACACACACACACACACACACACACACACATGTTATGTTCTTCTATCCTAATGGGGACTTATTTTACCTAACCCCTAACCCTAACCCTAAACCTTACCATAACTCTAACTGTAACCCTAACCTAAACCTAACCACTAACCCCTTATCCTAATTCTAACCCTAATTGTAACCCTAACCCTAAATCTAACCCCTAAGCTTAAAATAGCCTTTGTCCTCATGGAGACGTGGGAAATGTCCCCACGAGGGCCAATTTTCCTTGTTTTACTATCCTTGTGGGGACTTTGGGGGATTTTAGGTCCCCACAAGGATAGAAGAACCAACCTACACACACACACACACACACATACACATCACATGATATGGGGGCTACACTGAGGCGTGGTGAAAACAGTAGGGTTTTATCTGCTACACCAGACAAGTGTTCTTGAGTGTGATCCGTGCATCGAATTTTTGAAAATAGAACAAGAGTGTAATTTCCTTGTGGAGCCACGCTGCTTACTACGCCCAGGTTTCATTGAAATGAGTGGGATGCCTCGCAATCTGCAAATGTTACACATCCAATGTAGCAGGCCTGTGAGACTGATGTCAAAATTGTGAATTGAAGATTTACAAGTTAAGAATCATCAACCTTCTCTCCGCTGTGTGTAGCGTGTGTTGGAGCAGCCGAAGGAGGGAGAGAGGGATCGGAAGGGCGACGCCCCCCTGGGGAAGATCCCCTCCCCCCTCCACCCCGTCCCCGCCCCCATTGATGACATCAGCGACCTCATCAGCTCACCTGGACCAGGTAGGTCACACTGTAACAAACACACACACACATCGTTGTTTGGTGTATTATAGAGGAGGCTGGTGAGTGGAGATATTGGGAGGATGGAAAGGTATCAAACGCATGATTTGCATATGCGGAGGACATCGATCCATTTATTCTATTCCAGACCTTATACTAAGCCCGTCCTCATACACTACCGTTCAAAAGTTTGGGGTCACTTAGAAATGTCATCTAATTGATCAGAAATACAGTGTAGACATTGTTAATGTTGTAAATGGCTATTGTTGCTGGAAACGGCTGTTTTTTAAATGGAATATCTACATAGGCGTACAGAGGCCCATTATCAGCAACCATCAGTCCTGTGTTCCAATGGCACGTTGTGTTTGCTAATCCAAGTTTATCATTTTAAAAGGCTAATTGATCATTAGAGAACCCTTTTGCAATTATGTTAGCACAGCTGAAAACTGGCCTTCTTGAGACTAGTTGAGTATCTGGAGCAGTTATCGTGTGTAGGCTTAACCAGATGCTCTATTCTCACAAGAACCTGGGCGAGCTATTGGCCACGTTCCAGGCTGACTACACTGCAGATGCAGATCTCAGCATGTCTGCAGTGTAGTCAGCCTGGAGTGCAACCATTATGTGAGTATCATTGCTGAGTTCTGAAGTGAAAACATCACATCTACATTTCAACCTGTCCTGTCCTGTTCCTGTCTCCATGTTTCAGGCCAGAAAGAGGATCTTATTGCTACAGTCCTGGCAAGTAAGTCATCTCCATTCCACCCATCCACATTACATTACACCACAGAACTCATTATCACCCTCATGTGGTGGGAGGCCAAACCAGTTAGATCATTTCTCTGTTTCCACTCCCTTTCTCTCTCGCTTTCTCTCTCTCCCCTATCGCTCTCTCGCCCTCTCTTTCGCCCTCGCTCTCTCAGATCTCCAGGCTCAGTCTATAGAAGAGTTGAAACAGCAGAAGTCGTATCTGAAGCTTTTGAAGAAACAGTGCAAAGAACTCAAGGAGCTCCGCAAGAAACACCTCAAGAAGGTTAGACTGACACACACACACACACACACACACAGCTTATCCATCTTTCTGCGAAATTAGAAATACTAACTTGTAAAGATGTTATCAATAAACCACAGTGAAATGTTTTATAGACAGCTTCAATCCATTACGAATACTGCTGTTTGTGATTGCATCTATTTGACATGTGTTCTCTGTGTGTGTGTGCGTGCTTGTGCGTGCATATGTGTGTGTGTGTGTGTGTGTGTGTGTGTGTGTGTATTAACAGGTTTGGACCCTGAGTAAAGAGCAGAGGAGTCGCTGCAACCAGCTCTGCTCCGACACACAGAGACGACGCAGTCAGATGGAGAAACACCTCAAACGCAGCATGAAGAAAAAGTAAGAGAGGGAGGGATGGGGATGGGGGATGGGGGATGGGGGGGGGGGGGGGGGGTGATGAATAGGAGAAAGACATTCCAAATCAACCACTTGCCCCTTACACAGGAAAGGGGGAGAGACACAGTGGGGAATATTTGTGTGTATTAATGTGTTTGTATGTATCTGACAATATATTTGTTTGTTTGTGTGTGTCAGTGAGCCAGCAGAGCCGGTGCAGAGGCAGTTGACAGCGTTGGAGATGGAGTTACAGAAACAGACGGTGCAGCTGAGAGAGTGGCAGATGCAGGAGCTCCTAAAACTACGTCAACAACAACATACACTGGAGAGAGAGAAGAAACACACACACCTACGAGAGGTACACGCACACACACACACACACACACGCACACACACACACACACACACACACACACACACTAATCACACACACTCTCACCCCTCCTGCTGTGTGTTCCAGGCGTTTCAGAAAATAAAGGAGACATCCCAGGAATGTCAGACGGCTCAGCTCAAAAAACTTAAGGAGATCTGTGAGAGGTAAGATACTGTTTAACGCTTTATAACTACTGGATTACTCCCAATATATACTGAACAAAAATATAAACGCAACATGTAAAGTGTTGGTCCCATGTTTCATGAGCTGAAATAAAAGATCCCAGAAATGTTCCAAATGCACAAAAAGCTTATTTCTCTCAAATTTTGTGTGCAAATTTGTTTACATCCCTGTTAGTGAGCGTTTCTCATTGGCCAAGGTAAACCATCCACCTGACAGGTGTGTCATATCAAGAAGCTGATTAAACAGCATGATCATTACACAGGTGCACCTTGTGCTGGGGACAATAAAAGCCCATTCTAAAATGTGCAGTTTTGTCACACAACACAATGCCACAGATGTCTCAAGCATGCTGACTGCAGGAATGTCCTTCAGAGCTGTTGCCAGATAATTTCATGTTAATTTCTCTACCATAAGCCGCCTCCAACATCGTTTTAGAGAATATGGCAGTACGTCCAACCGGTCTCACAACCGCAGACTACGTGTAACCACTCCAGCCCAGGACCTCCACATCCGGCTTCTTCACCTGGGGGGACAGCTGATGAAACTGGGTTTGCACAACTGAAGAAACCGTCTCAGGGAAGCTCATCTGCGTGCTCGTCATCCTCACCAGGGTCTTGACCTGACTGCAGTTCGGCATCGTAACCGACTTCAGTGGGCAAATGCTCATCTTCAATGGCCACTGGCACGCTGGAGAAGTGTGCTCTTTACGGATGAATGCCTGTACCGGGCAGATGGCAGACAGCGTGTATGGCGTCGTGTGGGCGAGCGGTTTGCTCATGTCAACGTTGTGAACAGAGTGCCCCATGGTGCCGGTGGGGTTATTGTATGGGCAGGCATAAGCTACGGACAACGAACACAATTGCATTTTATCAATGGCAATTTGAATGCACAGAGGTACCGTAACGAGATCCTGAGGCCCATTGTCATGCCATTCATCCGCCGCCATCACCTCATGTTTCAACATGATAATGCATGGCCCCATGTCGCAAGGATCTGTACACAATTCCTGGAAGCTGAAAATGTCCCAGTTCTTCATGGCCTGCATACTCACCAGACATATGTCATCCATTGAGCATGTTTGGGATGCTCTGGATCGACGTGTATGAGAGCGTATTCCAGTTCCCACCAATATCCAGCAACTTCACACAGCCATTGAAGAGGAGTGGGACAACATTCCACAGGCCACAATCAACAGCCTAATCAAATCTATGCGAAGGAGATGTGTCGCGCTGCATGAGGCAAATGGTGGTCAGACCAGATACTGACTGGTTTTCTGATCCATTCTGTGACCAACCGATGCATATCTGCATTCCCAGTCATGTGAAATCCATAGATAAGGGCCTAATGAATTTATTTCAATTGACTGATTTCCTTATATCTTTGAAATTGTTGTATGTTGCGTTTATATTTTTGTTCAGTGTAGATGGATTTATATCAAAACACCTTTATAAGTAGAGTTAAGTTCTTATGTGCGAGGCAGTGTTGGGGGTAACACGTAACAAAAGTAACACGTTACGTAATCAGCTTACTTTTATGAGTAACGGAGTAAAGTAACACGTTACCTTTTCAAATTGGGGATTATTATTACAGTTACTTTCATAATCATATCTCTACCGGGCGTGTGTTTCCATGATCCGATCTCGACTTGTTTCCTCATTTAGTTCTCAAGCGAGAGGAGAAAGGCTGTTTGGAGAAATGTCATGACTGCTGCTGTCCATAAAGATGTATAGAGGGTGCACCTCTGGTCTTTGCCATTGATCACTTCTGTGATAGCAAAGCCCATAGAGGGCTTTCCTGTCTGGTGGCCTCTATACGTCTCTATGGGTCCGTGTACATGTGGTCTATAACCAGAACTGGCAGCTCGAGATAAATATTTTGAACGAAAAGATAGGAAATCTGTACAGATGTTTGGCTTGCAGTATATATGGCTAATTAAGCAGCCCATATGATAGCGCAGTATTTGTAGACTAGCACAGGAAAGCACGCCACTGATGAATGGAGAAACATCAAACCAGAGTTAGTAAGTAGCCTATCTTTAGTAGAGTACGCGCGGCTTGCCGAACTCCATCCGACAGTAAAACCACTAGTGAGATTTCGAGATTTTTTTCATGAAAGTAAGTCAAAGTAATATAACTAGTAATATAAGGCGTTCCTTTCCACACAAAGTACTATGGTAAAGTAACGCGTTACTTTTGTTGAATGTATTGAGTAATATGTAATGTATTACTTTTTCAAGTAACTAATCCCAACACTGGTAAGAGGTAAGATCATGTTTTATGATCATTTATAATAATAATTGATTGGATTCATATAGCGCTTTTCCAGATGTTCAAAGGGCTGTACATACTAAGGGGAACTCACTTCATCCACCACCAATGTGAAGCTCATCACTTAGGTGGTGCACGGCAACCATTTGTGCCAGAACGCTCACCACGCATCAGCTATTATAGCAACTGTATTACTCCAAATGCAGATGGATTCATATGAAAACACCCTTACAAGTAAGCTAAGTTATTGTTGTTGTTTATTTGTTTTTGTTATTGTTTACAGAGAGAAGAAGGAGCTTCAGAAGATTCTAGACAGGAAGAGACAGAACAGCATTATCGAGGCCAAGAGCAGAGACAGAGACAAGGCAGAGTCGTATGTCACTCTGTGTGTGTGTTTGTTTGTGTGTGTGTGTGGGTGTTAGTGTTGCACGCTATACCGAAACGTCTGAACTTTTTCGATACTAGACATTTTTGTTACTTTCGATACTTCTGTCAAATGTGTCTCACATCATATACGGATTGAGAGGATCGAGTCTGTCTAGTCGCCCCGTAGCGCTCACATCTATAGCCATGAAATACTTTGAATGGCTGGTCACGGCTCACATCAACACCATCCTCCCAGACACCTTGGACCCACTCCAATTCGCATTCCGCTCAAACAGATCCACAGATGATGCAATCTCTATTGCACTACACACTGCCCTCACCCACCTGGACAAAAGGAATACCTATGTAAGAATCCTGTTAATTGATTACAGCTCAGCATTCAACACCATAGTCCCGTCCAAACTCATCACCAGGCTAAGGACCCTGGTACTGGACACCTCCCTCTGCAACTGGATCCTGGACTTCCTGATGGGCCGGCCCCAGGTGGTGAAGGTAGACAACAACACATCTGCCACGCTGACCATCAACACGGGGCCCTTCAGGGGTGTGTGCTTAGTCCACTCCTGTACTCCCTGTTCACCCATGACTGCATGGCCGGGCAGGACTCCAACACCACCATCAAGTTTGCTGAAGACACGGTGGTAGGACTAATCACCGACAACGATGAGGCAGCCTAAAGGGAGGAGGTCAGAGACCTGGCAGTGTGGTGCCAGGACAACAATCTCTCCCTCAACGTCAGCAAGACAAAGGAGCTGATCGTGGACTACAGGACACGGAAGGGCGAGCACGCCCCCATCCACATTGATGGGGCTGTAGTGGAGCGGGTCGAGAGCTTCAAGTTCCTTGGTATCCACATCACTAAGGAATTAACATGGTCCACACACACCCACACAGTTGTGAAGGGGGCACGACAGCGCCTCTTCCCCCTTAGGAGGCTGAAAAGATTTGGCATGGGCCCCTCAGATCCTCAAAAAGTTCTACAGCTGCACTATTGAGAGCATATTGACTGGCTGCATCACTGCTTGGTATGGCAACTGCAAAGCACTCGACCACAAGGCGCTGCAGAGGGTGGTGAGTACAACACTGGGGCCGAGCTCCCTGCCATCCAGGACCTCTATACCAGGCGGTGTCAGAGGAAGGGCCAAAATAAAATCAGACTCCAGTCACCCAAGCCATAGACTGTTTTCTCTACAATCGCATGGCAAGCGGTACCAGTACACCAAGTGTGGAACCAACAGGACCCTGAACAGCTTCTACCCCCAAGCTATAAGACTGCTAAACAAGACTGCTAAATAGCTAATTTAATGGCTACCCGGGCTACCTACATTGACAATTTTTTGCACTAACTTTCCTGCGCTACGTCTATGCACACACACTGGACTCTACCCACACACTCACACATACTTACACTGACACCCCAACATACACACACACACACGCTACATATGCCCCCCCGCACACATAACACGCACACACATGCATACTGACGCCACACACACACTCTCCACATACACTGCTGCTACTCTCTATTATCTATCCTGTTGCTTGGTCACTTTATCCCTACCTATATATACATAGCTACCTCAATTACCTCATACCCCTGCACATCGACTCGGTACTGGTACTCCCTGTATATAGTAATGTCATTTTTACTCGTTATTGTTATTCACTGTGTATTTATTCCTCGTGTCACTATTTCTACTTTGTTTTAAATCTTTCTTTTTAACTCTGCATTGAAAAAGGACCTGTTGTTTACGAAGCATGTGACTATAATACAATTTGATTTGAATTATTTGTCTGAATCTGTCGTAGAAATATTTGACTCAAAAGTAGTCAACTCAAAAATATCTCTCAAGAGACTGGAGCTTGTGAATCCAAAAATTAGACGTTATTATTGCGTAACAAAGCCGAGCTTGCTCCATGGAACAACTGCTTGCCCTGACCCAGAGATCTCCTTTTATACAGACACAAATGCATAGTCATCCTTACATAGCATATACAGCTACTCCACTACAGCCCCATCAATGTGGATGGGGGCGTGCTCGCCCTTCCGTGTCCTGTAGTCCACGATCAGCTCCTTTGTCTTGCTGACGTTGAGGGAGAGATTATTGTCCTGGCACCACACTGCCAGGTCTCTGACCTCCTCCCTTTAGGCTGCCTCATCACTGCATGGCAGTGTGCTCTATTCTATACACCTGTCAACAACGGTGTGGCTGAAATAGCCGAATCCACTAATTTGAAGGGGTGTCCACATACTTTTGTATATACGGTGCATTCAGAAAGTATTCAGACCCCTTGACTTTTTCCACATTTTGTTACGTTACAGCCTTTTTCAAAAATTTATTTAAAAAATCCCTCATCAATCTACACACAATACCCCATAATGACAAAGCAAAAACAGGTTTGTAGAAAATGTTGCGAAAATGTTGCTAATTTATTACAAATAAAAAACAGAAATATCACATTTTTCAGTATTCAGACCCTTTACAGCCTCAAGTCTTCTTGGGTATGACGCTACAAGCTTGGCACACCTGTATTTGGGGAGTTTCTCCCATTCTTCTCTGCAGATCCTCTCAAGCTCTGTCAGGTTGGATGGGGAGCGTCACTGCACAGCTATTTTCAGGTCTCTCCAGAGATATTAAATCGGGTTCAAGTCCAGGCTCTGGCTGGGCCACTCAAGGACATTGAGAGACTTGTGCCGAACCCACTCCTGCATTGTCTTGGCTGGGTGCTTAGGGTCGTTGTCCTGTTGGAAGGTGAACCTTCACCCCAGTCTGAGGTTCTGAGCGCTCTGGAGCAGGTTTTCATCAAGTATCTCTCTGTACTTTGCTCCGTTCGTCTTTCCCTCGATCCTGACTAGTCTCGCAGTCCCTGCCGCTGAATAACATCCCCACAGCATGTTATAAGAAGTTTGTTGATGGATATTTATACTTTGGGGTTTATTTGTTATCATTTCAGTTTTACTTGGTGTTATCAATGTTACACACTAGACACTGTTACACACAATAGGGATGGTGCCAGGTTTCCTCCAGACGTAACGCTTGGCATTCAGGCCAAAGAGTTAAATCTTGGTTTCATCAGACCAGAGAATCTTGTTTCTTATGGTCTGAGAGTCCTTCAGGTGTCTTTTGGCCAACTCCAAGCGGGCTGTCATGTGCCTTTTACTGAGGAGTGGCTTCCGTCTGGCCACTCTTCCATAAAGGCCTGATTGGTGGAGTTCTGCAGAGATGGTTGTCCTTCTGGAAGGTTCTCCCATCTCCACAGAGGAACTCTGGATCTCTGTCAGATTGACCATCGGGTTCTTGGTCACCTCCCTGACCAAGGCCCTTCTCCCTCGATTGCTCAGTTTGGCCGGGCGGCCAGCTCTAGGAAGAGTCTTGGTGGTTCCAAACTTCTTCCATTTCTAAGAATGGAAGCCACTGTGTTCTTGGGGACCTTGAATGCTGCAGAAATGTTTTGGTACCCTTCCCCAGATCTGTGCCTCAACACAATCCTGTCTCGGAGCTCTACGGACAATTCCTTCGACCTCATGGCTTGGTTTTTGCTCTGACAGGCGCTGTCAACTGTGGGACCTTATATAGACAGGTGTGTGCCTTTCCAAATAATGTCCAATCAATTGAATTTACCACAGGTGGACTCCAGTTATTTCATCCATTTTAGAATATGGCTCTAACGTAACAATGTGGAAAAAGTCAAGGGTTCTGAATACTTTCCAAATGTGTAAATTAAGCCCAGTGGTTATTCTTTGACTTTAGCTAATACGCGTTATTTTTTTTGCACTGGTTTCGATATTGAGTACTTTGATACTAAACCTGGTATCGTGACAACACTAGTCTGTGTGAGTGTGTCTGTGGGTGTGTGTGTGTGTCTGTGTCTCATGGTCTCTCTTCACCTCTCTCTCCCTCTCTTTCTTTCTCTCTCCCCCTCTCTCTACCTCTCTCCGTAGGGAACTGAATGAGATCAACAGGAAGCATATCTCAGACTCTGTCACCTTAATCCGCCGGGTAAGTGTGTGCTGGCCTCACACACACACACACACACACACACACACACTTATTGCCTCACTCTTGAGTACATCTCCTTTATACTGCTTTCTGCGCTCTGCCAGCCATCTCCCTTTTTGATGTCAATAACTCTCCCTTTCTCTCTCTCTTCCTTTCTCTCTTTATTTTCTCCCTCTCTCTCTTTTTCTCTCTCCCTCCTTTCTCTTTCCCTCCTCTCTCTTCCTTCTCTCTTTCTCCTTCCCCCTTCCTCCTGCTTTCTTCCCATTCTCTCTGTCTCCTCACCCTCCCTAGTTGGATGAGGCCCAGTCAAGGCGTCAGGAGAAGTTGGTAATCGGTCAGAGAGAAGTCCTACGACACATAGAGGAGGAGCAACCACTGGTGAGACACACACACACACACAAATTGGTGAGACAGACACACATACTGTACCTTCAAATTTTATTTTATTGGCGTGGCTGTTAAAGTTAAATGAATCCTTCATCTAATCAATTAAAATATATTTATTCACCATCTCTTGCTCTCTCTCTCTCTCTCTCTCTCTCTCTCTCTCTCTCTCTCTCTCTCTCTCTCTCTCTCTCTCTCTCTCCTCTCTCCCTCTCTCTCCTCTCTCCTCTCTCCTCTCTCCAGCTGCAGGCCCGATTGGAGCGAGACTTGGAGGCGGAGTTACAACGTCTACCAGAAGAGATCTGCCAATACCTGCAGGTGCAACTTGAGTCCAAAGGTCTCCGTAGCGACGCTCTCTTCTCCTCCTTATCCAATCACAGCCCTAGCTCCAGCTCGGGTCCGCCCTCCAACTGCTCCACACCCACTTTTCCCTTAACACCCAATAGGAGCACCTGGAACAGGAGCCTGGACAATAGCATCGCCTCATTGGTGGACTCATCCTCTTCCTCTACTCCTGTCCTATCAGAGGCAGATATGTAAGCCATATGTACATTTATGTAAACCTAATGGTCCTGGGCTTTAGTTGGTAAAATTATTATTTTTTGTTTTCATAAAACATATATATTTGTAATTCTTCTCACCGGGATTTTAGAGAGAGAGAGAGATACAGACGAGGTTATCAAATGTTTTTTTCTTTTTTCTGTTCATTCATTTTTTCTTTTTTTTATCAATGTCTGTTGGACATTTTGTCTCTCTACCAAAGCCACTTTCTCGTGTGATGCAATCTCCCGCTTTAACTCCTGAAGCTTTAAGCAAGCACACCATTTTTCTTCAGGAAAATTACCCATGCTATCTGTCCCAAACAAAAAATCTGGTGGCTTAACTTGGAATTGTTTTTGGCATTGTTTTGACTGTGAATGGTTGGCAATGTATTGACTTTTGAGTGGTGGGTCTGTGTTTGAGCTGCAGTACCAAGATGAGACCACCAGATGGGAATGTTGTATCAGCAGTAGTGAGCAGTTTCTGTCTCTATCCCTATGCGATTCTCTGTTATTGGCTAGACTAACGCTACAGCTAACATTGAAAGGCACTTGTTTACACAAAAAACTGCTAGGCAGTGCTAGATCTGAGCTAGCATAGCGTGAGGCTAATGCTACATGATAAATAGCCAGAATGCTAATCCCCTGATCTGCAGCTGGGGGACACATGAATGGTAATGAAAGAGGGATGACGTGGAGATGATGGCCTGCTCCGTCTGTTATGCCATTATGTTATTATTCTGATTTATTTGAGATTATTTGTGTGCGGGTGGGCGCATGTTCATCTCCGGGGTAGATGGCTGCTTTTTGGTCTGTAAACTATTCTCATCTCTCACATCGCTCACAGCCAACTAGAGAGAGAGTGTTTGTGTGTTTTCCCTGTCTTTTCCCTCGATTTCTCTGTTCCGCTCTCTCTCTCACCCCCCCCCTCTCTCTCTCTCTCTCACACACACTCTCTCCCTCTCTCTCTCTCTCTCTCCCCCCCCCCCCCCCCTCTCTCTCTCTCTCTCTCACACACTCTCTCCCTCTCTCTCTTTGTGTCAGATCTAAATGAAAGATTGAGTTGACACGTGTGCACCTTTCTCACCAGCTTTGGCATCTGCTGTGTGCCACACACACACAGTGTCATTTTCCAACTGCCACCTCTTTCTTTTCTTTCTCCCTCTCCTGCTCTCTCTCCCTCAATATCTACAGTTGAAGTCGGAAGTTTACATACACCTTAGCCAACTACATTTAAACTCAGTTTTTCACAATTCCTGACATTTAATCCTAGTAAAAATACCCTGTCTTAGGTCAGTTAGGATCACCACTTTATTTTAAGAATGTGAAATGTCAGAATAATGGTAGAGAGAATGATTTATTTCAGCTTTTATTTCTTTCATCACATTCCCAGTGGGTCAGAAGTTTGCATACACGCAATTAGTATTTGGTAGCATTGCCTTTAAATTGTTTAACTTGGGTCAAACATTTCGGGTAGCCTTCCACAAGCTTCCCACAATAAGTTGGGTGAATGTTGGCCCATTCCTCCTGACAGAGCTGGTGTAACTGAGTCAGGTTTGTAGGCCTCCTTGCTCGCACACGCTTTTTCAGTTCTGCCCACAAATGTTCTATAGGATTGAGGTCAGGGCTTTGTGATGGCCACTCCAATACCTTTACTTTGTTGTCCTTAAGCCATTTTGCCACAACTTTGGAAGTATGCTTGGGGTCATTTGGAAGACCCATTTGCGACCAAGCTTGAACTTCCTGACTGATGTCTTGAGATGTTGCTTCAATAAATCCACATAATTTTCCTTCCTCATGATGCCATCTATTTTGTGAAGTGCACTAGTCCCTCCTGCAGCAAAGCACCCCCACAGCATGATGCTGCCACCCCAGTGCTTCACGATTGGGATGGTGTTCTTCGTCTTGCAAGCATCCACTTTTTCCTCCAAACATAACGATGGTCATTATGGCCAAACAGTTCTATTTTTGTTTCATCAGACCAGAGGACATTTCTCCAAAAAGTATGATCTTTGTCCCCATGTGCAGTTGCAAACCGTAGTCTGGCTTTTTTATGGCGGTTTTGGAGCAGCGGCTTCTTCCTTGCTGAGCAGCCTTTCAGGTTATGTCGATATAGGACTCGTTTTACTGCGGATATAGATACTTTTGTACCTGTTCCCTCCAGCATCTTCACAAGGTCCTTTGCTGTTGTTCTGGGATTGATTTGCACTTTTCGCACAAAAGTATGTTCATCTCTAGGAGACAGAACGCGTCTCCTTCCTGAGCGGTATGAAGGCTGCGTGGTCCCATGGTGTTTATACTTGCGTACTATTGTTTGTACAGATGAACGTGGTACCTTCGTGTGTTTGGAAATTGCTCCCAAGGATGAACCAGACTTGTGGAGGTCTACAATATTTTTTCTGAGGTCTTGGCTGATTTATTTAGATTTTCCCATAATGTCAAGCAAAGAGGCACTGAGTTTGAAGGTAGGCCTTGAAATACATCAACAGGTACACCTCCAATTGACTCAAATTATGTCAATTAGCCTATCAGAAGCTTCTAAAGCCATGACATAATTTTCTGGAATTTTCCAAGCTGTTTAAAGGCACAGTCAACTTAGTGTATGTAAACTTCTGACCCACTGGAATTGTGATACAGTGAATTATAAGTGAAATAATCTGTCTGTAAACAATTGTTGGAAAAATTACTTGTGTCATGCACGAAGTAGATGTCCTAACCGACTTGCCAAAACTATAGTTTGTTAACAAGAAATGTGTGGCTTGGTTGAAAAACGAGTTGTAATGACTCCAACCTAAGTGTATGTAAACTTCTGACTTCAACTGTATTTACCTGCAGACTCACACACATGTTTTAAGGGAAAGTAAGAAGGCAGGAGTGTGTGTGTGTGTAATTTTATAGGAGGGGCACACCAGGTTACTGTAGATATACATTATAACAGAAAGAAACCATCAGACTCTAAAAACATGCACACACACATACAAACATGTCAAAGATCAACCATCGTATGTATATATGATGGGAGACACCAACCAAAATGTACTTTATCTTTCTAAATCTTTTTTTTTTTTTTTTTTTTAACTGCCCAGGAAAATGCCCTATGCGTGTGTTCACATGTTGGCTGCGACCCAAATGGCACCCTTTTCCCTATTTAGTACATTAGTTTTGACCAGAGCCCTATTGAGAATAGGGTACATTTGGACGCAGACATTATCTGTATGTGGACGGTGGACTAGAATATTCTGTGGATATATTATTGTTATTGTTAATCTGTGTAATGTAATGTTATTGTCGTTTTACATGAAATGTACTACTGACTAAAGGTGCCCTTGGGGAGAATTTTTTTTTTTTTTGGGTGGGATGCTGAGATGCTCTGGAATGAAAGAAACTTTCTTTCTGTCCCTCACCCCTTCCTCTCCTCACCAATCCTCCCTCACTGGTACTTGCTGCCTGTCTGTCTTGGTATATAATATTATAAAATGCCTCTGTGTATATTCATCAACATTATTTTACCAGTTTTTTAATCTTTAAATTTTTGTAATCTTTTTTTTTGTGATGGATGATCTATTTAATTTAGTCAGCTGAGCGAATGAGGAGAGTTTTATTATTTGGGGGGGGTTAATGGTCGGGTTGCTATGGTAACCAGGGGAGACGACTTTGCTGTGGTATTTTAGCAATCGTCGTACCCCTTCCCCCTCCCTTTTGGTTGTGAGGGTCTATTTTAAAGTTTTCAGACACAGTGTTGATTGAATGGTTCACACAATTGCTAGGGTACTATTGGGGAGAAGACCTCACACACGTAAAATAAATGTACGTTCCAAGTACCGTGGTGTCAGGGTACCTCAAGCGGTTAAGACCGTTGGGCTAGTAACTGAAAGGTTGCTGGTTCGATTCCCTGAGCTAACTAGGTGAAAAATCTGTCTGTGCCCTTGAGCAAGGCACTTAACCCTAATTGCTCCTGTAAGTAGCTCTGGATAAGAGCGTCTGCTGAATTACAAAAATTTAAATGTACCTTTAGGACCCCAAAAGTTGTTGTTTTATTTTTACACTGATGTGGTTTAGGATTGGGGAACATTACAAAATCCCAATTTATATGTATTTATGTACATCGGAGCATTAGTTTGGGCATACATTATAATTTTTTATTTAATCAGCACATGTACTTAGTGCTAAAGATGGTCTTTATGATTCATGACAAGTATTTGGATTTTAACTTAGTTCTAGACGTTCAGTTACATAGCATTGTTTAAATTAAGAAAATTCTATAAACTGCTATTGGTCAATATTGCACATGGCTACCATATGGAATTATTTGATTGTACTGTGTCATGTAAATGCAGAAACCTCAATGTCCTAACTCTCTAAATAGAGGACTATACTATGTTCTAGAATACGGCCAGAGAATTTTACTGCAGAACACTGAGTTCTAGAATACGGTCCAGTGGTTCTATGCCAGAAAGTTAGAGGCACTTTATAGGCCTTCACATGTTCACATGCTGAAGAGAGTTCCATTGAAGGTGTGTGTTTGTGTGTGCATATTATTTATTTGTTTACATCATTTAGCAGATGCTCTTATCCAGAGCGACTTACAGTTAGTGAGTGCATACATTTTTCATACTGGCCCCCGTGGGAATCGAACTCACAACCCTGGCGTTGCAAGCGCTATGCTCTACCAACTGAGCTACAGGAGGCCATGTGTGCATGTGTGTTATCAAATTGCGCTCTGTTCACTATTGTGGTTAGCCAGTTTTCTTCCCTAGAGACTCAGCCTGGAGGCTAATTCAGTTTAATCTTGTGGGCTAGTTTCAGCTCTCTCCACACATACACACACACACACACACTCTTCAGCCCCACACTGTAGACCAGGGATCATCAACTAGATTCAGCCGTGGGCCGATTTCTTTTCTTGAGCGGATGGTCGGGGGCCGGAACATAATTACAAATCATTTGTAGACCGCAAATTGACCGCAAGAAGCCTAAACAGATATAATGTTTGACTAAAACATAATAATTTCACACCGTGCTTACATTTGTATACGATCACGTTTCTCTCTATTATGTGTGGGAATACTTGGGAACAGATTTTCTAAATTAAAATAACTTGGAGCTGATTTCCTGGTGTTTTTACAGTCTATTATGTCCACAATGAAAATTCTAAAAGAAAATATATATTATTTTTTGTTTTTTTTGCTCAGAAAACTTGGTGGGGCAAATGAAACCACCCGCGGGCCGGCCGCCAGTTGGGCAACCCTGCTGTAGACCATGTGTAAGGCTATCAACTCCCATCCCTTCTTACATTCATCCCTCCATCCTTCCCCTTACAATACTTTCTCTTCCAGGACCAGGTCACTTAAAGGAAGTTTGAAAAGATAGGCTGTGGGCGGGGAGCTTATATTCATGAGCTCGCCTTGACTGACAGCTCTTTAAAACACCTATGTCAAGCAAGTTGGATGCAGTGTTGTGGTAAAATCATCTTAAGCTAATTTGGTGATACACAAAGCAACTCAAACAACATTGAAATTGCATCAATGATGTCAAAAATGTTTTATGCATCTCTTGTTTGTCATGTGGTTCACAGCAGCACTGACAGATGTGTTGACTTGACAACAGCGTCAGAGTTTTGAACGACCCTTCCCCCTCTTTTGATCCATGCTGGCTAAAGACCTAGCTAGCCATTAACTAGCTAACACCAGACACAGATACAGGGGAAACACAATAATATTTGCCATAGATGAAGAGGGTAAACTTTTAATAATATTTTCTGACACCCTTCAGTAACATTTTTGGCACCAGTAGAGTAGCTATCTAGCTATGTAAACAGCGCCCTTCTGCAAACATGCCTTCTCCGATGTTGGTTACAAGGCGGTACTTATTTAAATTAGGTAAGAGAATATCATGTTACCGTTGATGTATTAAAATGAGAGAGTTATGGTGATGTCACCCTATCCCCTTAATAATCCCGCCACCTGAATCCAAGTGTTTAACACGGGGGAAGGGACCAGTAACTTTATTATCAAACTTTATCAATGTAGAAGCAATAGTCATTTTTCATACTCTGGTCATCATACTTGGATCTGGTTTCATCCAAATATCATCCAATTTCATGAAAAACATAATTTTGACTGTTCATGGCCTTTAGAACAGACTGAGAGATGGAGTCGGCGAAGGAGCGGTATAGTTGGTTGACACTGTATGACTGCCATTCCTTCTTACATTCACCCTCTCAACCCCTCTATCCATCCTTCTCTCCCTCCTTCCCCTTACAAGAGTTTCTCTCCGAGCCCCCAGGCCACTTAATAGAAAGAGATAGAGACAGAGAGAGAGAGAGAGGTATAGGTTTCGTCCCAAATTACAACCTATTCCCCATATAGTGCACTATGGGCCCTGGTCAAAAGTAGTGCACTATATCGGGAATAGGGTACCATTTGGGGCACAGCCAGAGTTTGTTGACACTGTATGTAGAAATGATGAGTTTCTCTCTCTGCCCCAGGCCACTTAATATAAAGAGAGATAAAAAATAAAAATAAAAAGCAGGATGAAGAAGGAGAGTGAGAGGTAGAGTTTGTAGACACTGTATGTAGAAAGGACTGGTCCGCCATGTCAAAGGGAATAATACTATGATGCATCAAGATGTAATATTTTGTATTGTTTATCTGGAGATATAATATACACTGTATAACTCAATAAATACAGAATTTTTGTCTAAAATCTCTGCTTTGTCTCTGACTCGATCCGAAACGTGCTTGACATTTTTAAAGTGAATTTCCAATTGAGCCGACATCTACAGCGCTTACCTTGAATGCAATCTCTGCAAACAAGGTAACATTGCCTTTAAAAGGCGTGTTGAATCCTGGCCATTGTGTAAGTAATTTAACCGTTTAATTTTGTGTACTAGTGTGTCTGTGTGTGTGTAATATTGTCTGGTGCAGAAAAAATTATTCCTGCGCTGAAGACGTCTATATTAGTCCGCTAATACAGGACTAGTAAAGGCCCAGTGCACTACTTTTGTGAAAAAACTAAATGTATTTGAGTGTTTACCAGCATTTCTTGAGTCTGATAATTATCTGTACAAAACAGTTAATCTGATAATACTTGTGGAATTTAAAAATACTTGCTTGATATATTTTCGAGTTTCTTGAAATACTTTGCAAATGCAACTTATTTCTATGTGAAAACTGAAATGGTCTATTCATTCCTTTTCCATTTTAGTAGACGCTCTTATCCAGAGCAACTTACAGTCGTGAGTGGATACATTTTCATACTTTTTCGTACTGGTCCCCCATGGGAATCGATCCCACAAGCCTAGCATTGCAAATGCCATGCTCTACCAACTGAGCCACATCATCACAAACCACTTGATGTCTCAATGTACTCAATTACTGTATTGTGCATAGTTTTTTTCATGGTGATGGAAATTCTATGGGTACAAACCTAGATGACCAGCCTACAGTATGTACAATACAGTAATGCACATTTACTTTAAGTGGTTTGTAAGGATGGTAAATTAATACTTAATGCTGCACAGAAAGTGGTTGCTTTCCATGTTATTTGATCAGGAAAAATATTTAATTTGATTTGGATGTTTTGTGTCTTTGCTCATTATTTTGCAACTTTTGATGTAAATGTTTGAGGAGAGGGTTTTGTTCGTTCTGGATTCCATTAGAATGACAATCGCAGAGAAAGGGACAGGGCAACAACTCTTACAATTCCAACTATTGAATCCTGCAAGATGCTGTTCTTAATTATATTACCTTTTTTGCCAAAGTGGAGATGTTGAAAAACGTTTTTTTGCCCACGCTACATCTGTCTATCTCCGTCTGCCATTACTAGTAAAGGCCCAGTGCACTACTTTTGTGAAAACCGCTTTTTAATACTTCTTTACAATAATTTTTGTACTTTTTACAACTTTTTTATTAGATTTGTTAGGGGGTGCTGCAGCACCCTCAGCACCTCTACTTCCCGCGGCTATGTGTGGATGCATCCCAAATTGCACCCTATTCCCTATATAGTGCACTACTTTTGACCATGGCCAATATAGCACAATAAAGGGCTCTCCAACCCTGTTCTTAGAGAGCTATCGTCCTGTAGGTTTTCACTCCAACACTAATCTAGCGTACCTGACTAATAATTAGCTGATTGGTGAACTGAATCAGATTAGTTACAACTCGGGTTGGAGTGAAAACCTACAGGAAGGTAGCTAAGCCCTGATATAATGTTGAAAGTCTGGAGCGACCTGGCATGAACAAATCGTCAGAAGTTGCGTCATGACATTTGTTCAACCTTATGTTCATATGCACATACAGTAAAAAAATTAAAAAGCTTTCCAAAGTATTTTTATGGTAGTGGAAGAAGTTTAAAGTGTGCAATATTCAAGTGTGCTTGAATAATGTAAAAAACAAACGTAAGTATCAACAGCAATTTGATGATGATTTCAACATTTAGTATTTATTATGATCCCCAATTAGCTGCTGTCCATGTGTCACTGTCTGTCACCTCCAAATTTTTCTCTTGACCTGTGTGCACTTACGTTGTAAATCCCATGATGGGTATAGGGAAAATTCGAGAATCATGTAGTAGCTTAAACCTATCACTGTTACATTGAACTGGGTGAATGGAATAAGAATGACAGTCATCCAATATGTCCTTCTTTGCCGAACCTGACCACACAACTGGACAGTACTCCAGGTGCGACAAAACTAGGGCTTGTAGAACCTGTCTGGTTGACTGAGATATCAAGAAAGCAGAGCAATGCCTTATCAGATGAGGTTTAGGGTTGAGCGAGTGATCTGTCCCAAAAATGATGCTTTTCATTAAAAAAAAAAAATATTTAGCACCAGTCTATTTCTAGTTACCCATTCTAAAACTGACTAGAGCTCTATGTTAAGGGTGTCTCTTATTTATTTTACTGTTGCAGCCGACATGTATACTATTGAGTCGTCAGCGTACATGGACACACAGGCTTTTTTCAAGGTCAGTGGAAGGTCATTAGTAAACACAGAAAACAATAATTGTCCAAGGCGGCTGCCCTGCGGTACACTCAATCAATCAAATGTACGGTATTTAAAAAGCCCTTTTTACATCAGCAGATGTCACTAAGTGCTTATACAGAAACCCAGCCTAAAACCCCAAAGAGCAAGCAATGCAGATGTAGAAGCATGGTGGCTAGGAAAAACTCCCTAGAAAGGCAGGAACATAGGAAGAAACCTAGAGAGGAACCAGGCTCTGAGGGTTGGCCAGTCCTATTCTGGCTGTGCCGGTGGAGATTATAAGACTACATGGCCATTAAGGCTAGATTGTTCTTCAATATGCTAAAACGTTCATATTTTGTTGTGTGACAGTCTGAATTCAAAATTGATTAAATATATTTTTTCCCTCATTAATCTACACACAATACCCCATAATGACGAAGCAAAAACAGGTTTTTACACATTTTGAAAATGTATCTAAAAATGTTTTTTGTACATTTTACATTTTTACATTTTAGTCATTTAGCAGACGCTCTTAACCAGAGCGACTTACAGGAGCAATTAGGGTTAAGTGCCTTGCTCAAGGGCACATTAACGTCATTTAGCAGACGCTCTTAGCCAGAGCGACTCACAAATTGGTGCGTTCACCCTATAGCCAGTGGGATAACCACTTTACAATTTGGGGGGGGGGGGTTAGAAGGAATACTGCTGTTATTTGTAAATAAGGTATTTACATAAGTATTCAGACACTTTGATAGGAGACTCGAAATTGAGCTCAGGTGCATCCTGTTTCCATTGATCATTCTTGACATGTTTCTACAACTTCATTGGAGTCCACCTGTGATAAATTCAATTAATTGGACAGGATTTGGAAAGGCACACACCTGTTAATATAAGGTCCCACAGTTGACAGTGTATGTCAGAGCAAAAACCAAGCCATGAGGTCGAAGGAATTGTCACTCTGACAGAGCTCTAGAGTTCCTCTGTGGGGATGGGAGAACCTTGCAGAAGGACAACCATCTCTGCAGCACTCTACCAATCAGGCCCTTATGGTAGAGTAGCCAGACGAAAGCCACTCCTCAGTAAAAGTCACATGACAGCCCGCTTGGAGTTTGTCAAAAAGCACCTGAAGGACTCTCAGAGCATGAGAAACAAGATTCTCTGGTCTGATGAAACCAAGACTGAACTCTTTGGCCTGAATTCCAAGTGTCACATCTGCAGGATACCTGGCATCATCCCTACGATGAAGCATGGTGGTGGCAGCGTCATGCCGTGGGGATGTTATTCAGCGGCAGGGACTGGGAGACTAGTCAGGAAAGATGAACGGAGAAAAGTACAGAGAAATCCTTGATGAAAACCTGCTCCAGTGTGCTCAGGTCTTCAGACTGGGGCAAAGGTTCACCTTCTAACAGGACAACGACCCTAAGCACACAGCCACGACAACGCAGGAGTGGCTTCAGGACAAGTCTCTGAATGTCCTTAAGTGGCCCAACCAGAGCCCGGACTTGAACCCGTTCGAACATCTCTGGAGAGACCTGAAAATAGCTGTAGCGTGACGCTCCCCATCCAACCTGACAGAGCTTGAGAGGATCTGCAGAGAAGAATGGGAGAAACTCCTCAAATGCAGGTGTGCCAAGCTTGTAGTGTCATACCCAAGAAGACTCCAGGCTGTAATGGCTGCCAAAGGTGCTTCAACAAAGTACTTAGTAAAGGGTCTGAATACTTATGTAATTGTGATATTTCAGTTTTTTAGATTTTAATATATTTACAAACATTTCTGAAAACCTGTTTTTGCTTTGTCATTAATGGGTATTATGTGTAAGTTGATGAGGGGGGAAAAAACGATGTAGTCCATTTTAGAATAAGGCTATAACGTAACAAAATGTGGAAAAGGTCAAGGGGTCTGAATACTCTCCGAATGCACTGTAGGTAGGAGCAAGTCCATGTAATGTTTGTAGGTTAGCAGTAAAACCTTGAAATCAGCCCTAGCCTTAACAGGACGCCAAAGGCTAGCACTGGAGTAATATGATATAATTTTTTGGTTCTAATCAAGATTCTAGCAGCTGTATTTAGCACTAGCTGAAGTTTATTTAGTGCTAGTGTTTATTTAGTGCACTCAACTGAATTTGCATTAGAGAGGCTTCCATTAAAGAAATCCTCTGTGTTCAATTGGATAGGTACAGTGGGGAGAACAAGTATTTGATACACTGCCGATTTTGCAGGTTTTCCTACTTACAAAGCATGTAGAGGTCTGTACTTTTTATCATAGGGGTACACTTCAACTATGAGAGACAGAATCTAAAACAAAAATACAGAAAATCACATTGTATGATTTTTAAGTAATTAATTTGCATTTTATTGCATGACATAAGTATTTGATCACCTACCAACCAGTAAGAATTCCAGCTCTCACAGACCTGTTAGTTTTTCTTTAAGAAGCGCTCCTGTTCTCCACTCATTACCTGTATTAACTGCACCTGTTTGAACTCGTTACCTGTATAAAAGACACCTGTCCACACACTCAAACAGACTCCAACCTCTCCACAATGGCCAAGACCAGAGAGCTGTGTAAGGACATCAGGGATAAAATTGTAGACCTGCACATGGCTGGGATGGGCTACAGGACAATATGCAAGCAGCTTGGTGAGAAGGCAACAACTGTTGGCACAATTATTAGAAAATGGAAGAAGTTCAAGATGACGGTCAATCACCCTCAGTCTGGGACTACATGCAAGATCTCACCTCGTGGGGCATCAATGAACATGAGGAAGGTGAGGGATCAGCCCAGAACTACATGGCAGGACCTGGTCAATGACCTGAAGAGAGCTGGGACCACAGTCTCAAAGAAAACCATTAATAACACACTACGCCGTCATGGATTAAAATCCTGCAGCGCACGCAAGGTCCCCCTGCTCAAGCCAGCGCATGTCCAGGCCCGTCTGAAGTTTGCCAATGACCATCTGGATGATCCAGAGGAGGAATGGGAGAAGGTCATGTGGTCTGATGAGACAAAAATAGAGCTTTTTGGTCTAAACTCCACTAGCCGTGTTTGGAGGAAGAAGAAGGATGAGTACAACCCCAAGATCACCATCCCAACCGTGAAGCATGGAGGTGGAAACATCATTCTTTGGGGATGCTTTTCTGCAAAGGGGACAGGACGACTGCACCGTATTGAGGGGAGGATGGATGGGGCCATGTATCGTGAGATCTTGGCCAACAACCTCCTTCCCTCAGTAAGAGCATTGAAGATGCGTCGTGGCTGGGTCTTCCAGCATGACAGCGACCCGAAACACACAGCCAGGGAAACTAAGGAGTGGCTCCGTAAGAAGCATCTCAAGGTCCTGGAGTGGCCTAGCCAGTCTCCAGACCTGAACCCAATAGAACATCTTTGGAGGGAGCTGAAAGTCCATATTCCCAGCGACAGCCCCGAAACCTGAAGGATCTGGAGAAGATCTGTATGGAGGAGTGGGCCAAAATCCCTGCTGCAGTGTGTGCAAACCTGGTCAAGACCTACAGGAAACATATGATCTCTGTAATCGCAAACAAAGGTTTCTGTACCAAATATTAAGTTCTGCTTTTCTGATGTATCAAATACTTATGTCATGCAATAAAATGCAAATTAATTACTTAAAAATCATACAATGTGATTTTCTGGATTTCACAGTTGAAGTGTACCTATGATAAAAATTACAGACCTCTACATGCTTTGTAAGTAGGAAAACCTGCAAAATTGGCAGTGTATCAAATACTTGTTCTCCCCACTGTAACTGTCAATGCATGAAAAGGCAGAGGATGTCCATAACACCTACGTTTTTTCCGCAAGACGTTACGATCAATGATGTCAAAGGCTGCACTGAAGTCTAACAAAACAGCTCCCACAATCTTCTTATTATCAATTTATTTCAGCCAATCATCAGTAATTTGTGTGCGTGCCTAGCATGTTGAGTGCCCTTTCCTATAAGCATATTTCTGTAAAATATATACAGTACTAGTAAAAAATTATTGGACACACCTACTCATTCAAGGCTTTTCTTTATTTTTACTATTTTCTACATCGTAAAATAATAGTGAAGATATCAAAACTATGAAATAACCCATATGGAATAATGTAGTAACCAGAAAAGTGTTAAACAAATCTAAATGTATTTAATATTTGAGATTCTTCAAAGTAGCCACCCTTTTAACTTGATGACAGCTTTGCACACTCTTGGCATATTTTGTGTGAGTGAGAAAATGATGGAGTGAGTGTTTGTGTATGTGTTGGAGTGAGTGTGTAGGGCCCTGTGAGTGTGCATAGACACAATGCAAATATTGAAATAAAAGGTCAACAAAGATACAATGTAAAGTCAGATAGTCCGTGTTGCTATTTTGTTAGCTATTTAGCAGTCGTATTGCTTGGGGATAGAAGCTGTTCAAGAGCCTGTTGGTGTCAGACTTGATGCACCGGTATCTCTTGGCGTGCAGCAACAGAGAAATAGTCTATGGTTTGGGTGGTTGGGGTCTTTGACGATTTTCCGGGCCTTCTTTTCACACCGCCTGATATAGAGTTCCTGGATGGCATGGAGCTCGGACCCCAGTGATGTACTGGGCTGTCCGCACAACCCTCTGTAGCGCCATGCGATTGAGGGCGGTGCTATTGCCAGTCAAAATGCTCTCAATGGTACAGCTGTAGAACTTTTTGAGGATTTGAAGGCCCATGCCAAACTTTTTCAACCTCCTAAGGGGTAAGAGGCACTGTCGTGCCTTGTGTGTGTGTGTTTGGACCATTTCTTTAGTGATTTGGACACAGAGGAACTTGAAGCTGTCTACCTGCTCCACTGCCGCCCTGTCGATGTGGATGAGGGCGTGTTCGCCCCCCTGTTTCCTGTAGTCCAAGATCAGCTCCTTGGTCTTGCTGACGTTGAGGGAGAGGTTGTTTATCATTTTAAGCTTGGAAAAGAGACCCTTAATCCCAGACTTGGGACCACACAGCCGCTCCACTGAATAGCAGGCTAGTGATTGCTTTGCAATGCTTGCAGTTAGCCACTGATTCCTTCCAAACCACTCATTGTTGAATTTGCAATTTCCAACTTGTTGTGTTATGTTTATGTCCAATGGCCGATGAGCACCGATACATTTTATCTATAATTTCTCTTCATTATTTATCTTCATATGACAAGGATTAAAAAGGATTTGCCTGTACGTTGTCCACTTTATTCATGATGATGACTGCTAGCTAAGATTTTGAAAGTATGATGTTAACATGATCAGTCCAATCAAAGCTACTGTAGATATAACGTGATTTGATGTAATTTTATCTATGGCCAATGACCTTGAGCCTTCTTGGATGGGCACTTCTAATGTAACGCTATGGCAGCACCCAAGGGGCTTGAATTTTCGAGCTCTACCCTTAGACTTGGCGGTCCCTATGAGTGACAGAACACTGAGCCAATCACGGCACAACTAGAGAACATTACCAACACCTACGCTCTGTATTTTCCACTGGCTGCCCCACCACCACAGAAAGCACTGAGCTAGGCTGAAACACCTGCATTTTGAAGCTGCCTTACTCAATAAAGCAAAAAAGAGACCATGATTGTATGCAGCTTTATTAACTCAATTATTTTTTTGAATTATTTTTTTTACATCATTTGCAAACTGATATATGACACGTATTAATGCCAAAATAACATGCAAAACAGGCAAGCCCCCAATGTGGGCCTCAAAACAGGTGGGGCTCTGCCCCACTTGCCCTGAATGACGGGTCGCCACTGAACATAGGGCTCTTGTACAGTATACTTTACAATTAGTAATAGGTGGTATAACTTTAGAGTCCTTGGTCTCTTGTTGTGGTGTGTTTTGCTGAGTAGTGCAGTAGCTACTCTAATCTATCCTAAAGCATTTTTCTAAACTTTCTCTTGTTAATTTCTTTCTCTTCTCTGCACACAACCTTCTTTTTTTGCCAGTTTCTCCAACTTTTCTCTCTCCCCTCCTTCCCTCTCTCTCCTGCGGGACTGTTGTTTTTTCTATTTTCTTCTGCTCTGTTCTTTCCTTCCGTTCCTCTCCAGCGGAAAGGTGTCACGCTACCGTGGTTACCTGTGGTTGCCGTGGGAATAGCAGCTGTCTGTCAGTTGGGCTCCTGTTGTCAGGCTGTCGTGAAGGGGAAGTTGACAGATACAAGTTTTGATTTGAAAGATAAGTATTTATTTCACCTTTAGCCTTTCTCAGGATTTGTCTGGTCAAAGTAAAAACAAAGCAACATCTTTTTTAAACTCTAAGAAGTAAATATAGAGAAGTTCACTCAGATATTTTGTTTTAATTTCTTTCTCCTCTATTTCTTTTTTTCTCTCTCTCTTTTTCTCTCTCCCTCTCTCTCAGTACTGTACAATACGTGACTGTAAAGTTGAAATGACACACAGGACTCAGTCTGATTAGTTGGTACCTCAAACAAGGTTTTAATTCAGCTTGGAGAAAAATAAAGACAAAGCTTTGATCTTGTTTTACTTAAAAATATGTATGTAGTCTATCCCTACAACATTTTCCCATCGACACATGAGATAAAAGTAATGCAACCACTGTGTTGTATGGAACCAGACAAAACACAGAGACATACACGCACATGTAACAAGTGTTAAATTTCATGTCATTTAATTACACAAAATCAGAATAGTTCCATGCCTAATATTACCATACATTAATTTTGTTATTGTGAGTGCTCTTTTTAATGTCACACACTTCCTTCTCCTTCTGTATTCCCCCTCATAAACATCCCCTGCCCCTTACCTTTTCCCTGTCTACTGTACCCATGTGGAAGAGGTAGGTTACTGTAAAATTCATAATCAATCATAGATGTTAAAACAATTTACGAGTTTAAATGGTCACTGACAGTGTATTATAATGGTCTCCCACAATTATTGTGATATGTATGCATTTCAGTCATTTAATACGTTTTATCTTGTAATGTTGTCCTACTGTACTTTACATGTTCGCTAGTTACTGTACTGTACTTTCTACAGTATGTTACATCGTCATTGGGCTAGCATGGCTATTGATGTCCCCTTTCGTTATGAATTTGTAGTTTGCAGAGGAGTTTGCTTGTAAGGGCAGCACAGCATTTGTTTATGTAAGTTAATCCTGTCAATATCAGGTATATGTGTTTTTGTTTGTTAAGATACTTTGACTATATTTTACTGTTAGCAGTTCGCAAGTGCACGTCACGTACTATATGTAACGCCTGGCTGTCATTGAGAAAGATGACTAGCCTAGGCCTATAGGCTACTGTACATGTAGATTTACTACTGTACATTGCATTTGTATTACATTGTTATGTGAAACAACATTATTATTAATGGCCCTGTCTACTGTACCCATGTGGAAGAGAGGAGTTGGCGTATAAGGGCAGCACATCATTTGTTTATGGAAGTTTTTCTTGTCATTATCAGAAAATAAAAGATCAACACCAACCCTGATCCTCTGAGCATATGTAAGCTGAGCAAAACCCAACGCAGAGGCAATTCACACTGGTCACACATGCACTCACATAGGCACGCACACACATCAAAATAAAAAGGAATTATAATATTATTATAATGAATCGTCCATAAATCCGAATACAAAAAAGTGAAAGCATAAACACAAAACAGAAGCCAAGGAGTGCTCATAGCAACAGAGTGGCTAATATTAGCAAGGAGAAAGTTAAGGGGAGGGGAACAAAGCACAGAAACACGCACAGTAATCAATAGATACAGAAAGAATGATAGGTGACTGATAAGGGGCAAGTAAACACACAAAGGGAATGGGCAGTACTGATAAGGGCAAACACTTACCTTGCAACAAACATGCATACACCCACTCACACACACACACACACACACACACACACACACACACACAAACAAACAAATACAAAGCCAATAAAAAAGACGACAGGATTTCATCCCATCCCATACTGTTATCTATCTTGTTGGATTGATTTGAAAAATACTCGTCTTCCCAACTAGCTTTCAGTCTAACGTCAAATTTCGAAGTTATTGCAAACTTCAAATTTGGAGGTGTTTAAGGTTAAGTTAAGGCATTAACTCAGAAATCTTAAGGTTAGGTATTAACTCCAAATGGTTAAGGTAAGGGTTAAGGTTTGGGATAGGCTTAAACAAAAATCTCAAAAACAACTTTCTATTGCTGGATTTCAATTTACAACCTTTGGAACCAGAGGCAGATGCTTACCCATCATTCCCGTCCACAACTCCCTAGCAAAACCGAAACCTACTTGAACGTAACACCGTTCACTGTTGCCCCCTAGTGGCCGGTTTCCACGTACTCTCCCGACGTCCACAGGCATGGATGCTGACTTGTATCACGGGTGACCTGGCTGTGTGTTCCACCTCAAAAAACAGCCCAGCCTAACCCAGCTTATGTGTGTGTGTGTGTGTGTGTGTCTCCTGCTTGTCAGACAGAGGGTCAGTGACTCCCATACACTACTTCTTGTGATTGGATCAGAGTGCTGGGCCCAACGCCAGGTCTGACATCTATTACAGATGTACACACACACAAACAAACACGGACGCACGCGTGCAGACATACTGTAACACATATACACACACACACACACACACTATTAATAGGTGTGTGTGCGCGTGTGCGTTGGAGTATAGTACTCCACAGTAATGTCACACATACACACACACACCGGTCTCATTCAACCTTTGCTCCCTGCTCTGAACCTGTGAGTGGGAGATGGTATGGGTTACACAATTCACTAATACACACACAGAATCCAATGTCTTTTTTTTGTGTCCAGGTTGGCACTCTAATTTATTAAGTCTCCATGGGCCCGTGCCAGGGACAGACAGGGGCGCCCTTATAAAGATATTACATACACACACATACTGTACACACAACCGAACCAACAACAGACAGCGAAAGGGAGACAATGGCTTTCTGAGATCGTCACTAAGCAACAAGAGGGACTAAAAATACTATCTACGCACGTTCTCTCCATTTCTATACCCACCTCACACACACATAGCATTCATAAACACTTAAAGGACTTTTTATAGCCAAATGTCAGCATGGAGAGCTAAATCTGTCTCCTCTACGCTCTCTGTTTCGTCATCAACCCATTACGCTTATCTGTCCTTATCCCCGCTCTCTCCCTCTCCCTCTCCTCCACAGTCTGAAGAGCTCTGGAATCCTTACTACCACAGTTCCATCTCTCTCTCTCGCTCCTCCGCAGTCTGAAGAGCCCTGGAATCCTTCCTTACAACCAGAGTTCCATCTCTATTCAACCATGTTGAAATTCCAATTCTACAACTGAATATTTTTTTTTTTTGAGAATAAATTGCTATTTTCTTGACTTGGAACTGGAATGGAATTGATTTCCCCAAACCTGGTTTCAAATGCTGAGCTGCGTTGAGATAGGCTAGGCTGGGCTGAGCTGTGCTGGGCTACTATAGAAGAGGGGATGCTTATATAGGTACACACTTGTACAAGTGTGTAATGGAGACAGCTAGCCTTACTAGGGTCCGACAAATATCGAAAAACTTTACAATTTACATACATTTCAAAACATTAACATGTCAGTACATACAAACAACAAATAGCTCAAATGGGGGAGAGGCGTTGTGCCATGAGGTGTTTTTTTAAAACCAGGTTTGCTGTTCACTTGAGCTATATAAGATGGAAGGGAGTTCCATGCACTCATGGCTCTGTATAATACTGTAAGTTTCCTTGAATTTGTTCTGGACCTGGGGACTGTGAAAAGTCGGCTCTGTTCTGGGCCAGCTGCAGCTTAACTAGGTCTTTCTTTGCAGCACTTGACCATATGACTGGACAATAATACATATCATATAAAACTAGAGCCTGCAGGACTTGCTTTGTGGAGTGTGGTGTCAAAAAAGCAGGGCATCTCTTTATTATGGACAGACCTCACCCCATCTTTACAACCATTGAATCTATATGTTTTGACCATGACAGTTTACAATCTAAGGTAACACCAAGTAATTTAGTCTCCTCAACTTGTTCAACAGCCACACCATTCATTACCAGATTCAGCTGAGGTCTAGAACTTACGGAATGATTTGTACCAAATACAATGCTCTTAGTTTTAGAGTTTTAGAGTAATAAACTGGGTGGACCAGTTTATTACTGGCCACCCATTCCGAAAAAGACTGCAACTGTTTGTTAAGGGTTTCAGTGACTTCATTAGCTGTAATTGCTGATTCGTATATGGTTGAATCATCAGCATACATGGACACACATGCTTTGTTTAATGCCAGTGGCAGGTCATTGGTAAAAATAGAAAAGAGTAGAGGGCCTAGAGAGCTGCCCTGCGGTACATCACACTTTACATGTTTGACATTAGAGAAGTTTCCATTAAAGAGTTCTATTAGATAGATAGCTCTGAATCCATGATATGGCAGAGGTTGAAAAACCATAACAAGTTTTCTCAACAACAGGTAATGGTCAATAATATCAAAGGCTGCACTGAAATTTAACAGTACAGCTCCCACAGTCTTATTATTATCAATTTCTTTCAACCAATCACCAGTCATTTGTGTCAGAGCAGTACATGCTGAGTGCCCTTCTCTATAAGCATGCTGAAAATCTGTTGTTAATTTGTTTACAGAGAAATAGCATTGTATTTGGTCAAACACAATTTCTCAATTTGCAGTAAGTCAGCCAATCAGATGTGCAGCCAGACTTATTTGCCACTCATTCTGCCCCATCTCTTTCAATCATACAGTTTTTCAATTCCTCATCAAGGCACTGGTTTCAGTTAGAAGCTTCCTCCTGAGCTGACAGCTTGATGAAAACCAGTCATTATTCAGGTCCCCAAGAAAGTACACCTCTCTGTTTAGATCGCATACACTATCAAGCATTTCACACATATTATTTAGATACTGACTGTTAGCACTTAGTGGCCTATAGCAACACCCAAAAGGAAAAAGCTTTAAATGTGCCAGGTGAACCTTCAACCACAACACTTCAATAACACTTGACATAAGATCTTCTCTAAGCATTACAGGGATATGGCTCTGAATATACACTACTGGTCAAAAGTTTTAGAACACCTACTCAATCAAGGGTTTTTCTTTATTTATACTATTTTCTACATTGTAGAATAATAGTGAAGACAACAAAACTATGAAATAACACATATGGAATCTTGTAGTAACCAAAAAAGTGTTAAACAAATCAAAATATATTTTATATTTGAGATTCTTCAAATAGCCACCCTTTGCCTTG